TTCAACAGAGCAGTTCCATTTTATCCTGGTAAAAACTTTTGTTTTCACCTAACTAAATCTTTTCTGCTTGCTTGATCATATTTCTATGAAAAACTTGGATGTATATACACAATATTCCATGTCTCAAATAGTTATAAATATTGCTGTTATTTAACATTTAACTTAAATGACTTCATTGGGAGTATTTTGGGGTCTGTGCTTCTATGCACTGAGCAAAAGCAGTATTTGCTTAGGAGACTGATTAAGTAATCAGAAATACTTTCCTAAAGAAGAAAAATAAAAATGGTGCGTGCCACTTTGGTTTGGAGCTGCTTTGGGGGTTTTTATTCATTTATGTGTCTTTTAATTCTTAAAAAACAAATCAAAAACATTCCATTAGAAGCACCATTTTTTAAGCTCAAACTTTGTGAATAAGACTGCACACTCAGCAGACTCTAATGTAGTTAAAGGTATAAAAAACACGCTGATCTTTTTAAAGATATAATTTTCTGAATATTTTTGTTAAATTGTCACAAGTGATTTGATAGCTTTGCTTTCTTTCTCTGATATGAATAGTACAATAGGATGTATCAGTTATGCTTTTTATGAATGGCAAACATTCAAACTGTGTGACTATTTAAAAGTTTCTTCCTCGTGATGCAAATAGTTTTTTATATACATGGGAGGACATAGCACATTTGATTTTTTTGCAGTTTTACATATGAGCACAGTATTATTCTGACTGTGCTACATTAACAAACTGGAATTCTGTTGAGGACTATAGCTGCTGTGACATATACTAATATTTAATAGATCAACAAATAGTCATTGATAACATTTGCTCAGCATTAGAATAAAATCACACACACACACACGGAATACCTTGACACTTGACTTTGAGATCAGAAGGAAAGGAAGACCTGAAAGTCATTTGAACATTTTAGGAAAATAACATTGGAAGGGAAAAGTTACTAAGCACATAGAAACAGGTGTTTATCCTAACAATGTCTGCCTCTTGACTCAATTGAACAGTTTGCTAAATTGTAAAAGAAATTTTAAGCTAATGGGATTTTTATACTGTCTCTGTAACTGTAGCTTTAAAATGCAGTGTTTATTATTGTCATAGAAAGTTTAATTTGTAGTCTTTTCGTGCCTTTAAGGTAGTGTGATGTGTGACAAACAACCACAAATGTGAATGCCTTATTTTTGTTTTTATAACAACTTTAGCTACAGCATTTCCTGTTCCCAAAGCTAAACAAACACTGGAATGATATTGACTTGTCACTTAATTTAACACAAGCAACTGTTATTAATAAGTAGTTTGTCTCGGTGTCATGTATATATGTGATTTTTTTCTCTTCTACATGGTTTTATTTGAACAAATGTAGACAGTTTATATGTTGCCTTTTTCTATTCAAATTTGCATGGCCTCTTCAGTTGGCTGGGGAGTGTGTCTTATCTGAAAATACTTTCAAGATAATATTCCTTGGGAAGAAGTAACATTCCTGGTTTGAGGAAAGGAATGCTATTCATACTGTCTCCTCAGGCCCAAAACACTCCAGCTGGTAGCAGGAAAATGCAAAGGACACACAATATTCTGCATTGAAAAACAAGGAATATACTTAGCACTTAATTTTTTTTTTCAGTTTTCCAGTTTTCCTTCTCAGGTACAAAAGGTAGTCTGTGGTCAACAGTGGAGTTTTGTGAACTGCATATTGTAACTGACAGCTGTTTTCAACCTCAAGATTGAAAATTTTGACAGTCCATGTTAAGTTTGAGGAAGGTTTTAGGTAGTGTCAGTAAGAGGCTGTTGTGCCACTGCTGATCATAGGACCACACTAGGCTCCCACTTTATCAAGACGTGGCTTTCACAAACAAATCTATTCCAAGGAACCATGATGACGTCTAGAAACTCTAAGGTATTAGATATTTCCAGGAAAAATGAAGTCCTATCATTCTCTTCTTCATCAGCAGAAATAGGGGGATAGAAATGTTTGTCTTGAACTTTCCTGAGTCCTAGTGATACCGATGTGCTGATATTCAACACAGTCCTTCAACAATATGAAAACTGTTGTGCCGACTGCGTCAGCACAACACGGGAGAAAAGCCGTGCTATACATCTGGTTGTACAGCCATTTTAGCCAGTTCTATATCTTGTCCCTCCATGGTTCTGATTGGAAACTGCAGTCATGGAGGTTTTAACCACTTATTATAGAAATTATACCAACAGCTAATGAAATATGCCTGGGAAATCCAAACCAGGAAGTGTCTTCATTTATTAAATTTTCATTAAGTCAGAACAAGTGGAAGAATATTATCTAGACGAATCCAGATTTACTTTCTATGAAAATTAACGTCTGGATTTTTTTTCCCGTTTCTCCTGGCCTAAGGAATAAGTATTGATAAGGAATGAATTGAATGTAATTTTATGAATGTGTGTGGAAAATATAAACCAGGGTTATAGCCTTAATGAAGGTAACCATTCTGACATCTGTTGTTAATCCCCTTTGTATTCTTGTATCTGCACTGTTATTTTGAGATGTTATACTGCACACTGTATGGAAAAATAAAGAGTAAAATTATATTTCAAATACAAAAAGCCACAGAGTACTTTGTTTTGCCATGTTTATATCCACTGCCATTCAAGGTTTCTACATATATAAAGACCAATTTCTTGTTGCGAGTGTTCGCCAAAAGTAATACCATTGGAACCTCTGGGTAGAACACAAATTACCTTTTAGGCTATTGCTTATTGTGGGAATGTTGCAACAGAATGTCCTCTGTTGGTACAGTAAGAAGGTCCTGTTCCATAATAGTTAAATCAACTACCAAAAATGGATAACTTAAGGCTGTGAACTTGAAAAGTTTTCAGGGGAATGAGATATATAATACTTCTAGCAAATTTACCTTAAATTAAACAAGAATTAAGGAAGCCAAGGATAGCATGTGAATTGTTGGCAAACACATAACATACTTCATTTTCCCTTTTTCTACCAGACCATTCGGTGTCTCCCAAAGGATATAAATTATATACCAGCAAAAAGTTTAATCCACATAAATACCTGCTACCCCATTCTATTTTTCAATTCCTATTCCTGATCTATCCCCTTCCCCTATGGATCAGATCACTCCAGTTCCATACAACAAACTGTCCACTATTTTCTCTTGATTTCTTTTTAATAAATGCTAAACCATAGGATCATTTGCAGTTGTAAAGGCAGTTTAATCAAGGCCAATAAACTCCAGAGCTTTTAAGAAATACTGAATTTATCTAAATGAAAATTCACCAAATAATTCTGGTTCTATACCCCCATCTTCTTTTGCCTCTTGATTTCAGAAGCTTGTTTAAGCACCAAGCTTCTGAAATCAAGATACCACTTGACTTACATTGCAGTTATGCTGTTTGGCCCATCTAAACCTCAATTTCCTCATCTGCAGAGTGGGTGTAGGAGAATTTACCTCATCAAGATATTGGGGAATTAGAAGTTAAACAGCCAGTGTTGCCTATTTTTAAAATATTTGTGAATTCAGTAATTGGTTTTCTAATCACCAAAGAATTTATACTCAGATTTTATTCTGTAAGCCAAGCTTTCTACCGATCATCTCCTGGATAGGTCCTAATTTTACCTTTAAATACCTTAAGTTTTAAACACATGGGAGGCACAAAGGATAAAAGTTGAGGTATAAAAACTCTGAAACACACACCTATAATTCCAGCTGCTCAAGAGGCTGAGCTAGGAGAATGGTGAATTTAAGGCCAGCCTGGGCAACCTGGTGAGACCCCATGTCACCACTTTTTAGCTTTTTAACCTAAGGCCATTACTGAAGTTCCCTGTCCTCAAATTTTTCCTCCATGAAATGGGGATTAAAGTATACCTTTTATGATTATTAGTATACCTTTTATGATTATTAGTATACCTTTTATGATTATTGTGATGACACATAATAACTAATCTATTATTTGATAGCAAGCATTAAATGTCTATAAAATCATTTAGTACTTAAAAATAGCCTAAACTGTGAAATCGATTCATTAAAACATATTAAGGCTAGTGCCACAATTTTAAAACTAAGAGTTATTCCATGGATGTCATGCCCAAAATGCCTGGAACTGACTGAAAGGCTGAGGAATCATGGGTAAATATGCCAAATCAAATAGTACCAAAAACCTCAGTCATCACCTGTGATGGCCATTCACAAACCTCATCTTCATACATGATTATTATTGCTTATAAAATAATAAAAAGTTACATTATTTATTTCAAAATGAAAATTTATGTTTGGGAAAGAATTATGAAGTTCCTAACTCACTGGCAATCATTTATTAGTAACCCCATAATGCAAAAATGCCTCAAAAAAAGCTTTTTAGTAAAACATTGATAATTAGAGGGAGTTAAAAAAAATAAATAAGCAACTTACTTGCCACTTACTAAACACTTCAGCAAGAGAAAGCTTTGTGGATGGCAATACAGTCACTAATCTGAGCATAAGAATGTGGCTACTATTCTTAGCAGTAAATTAATAATAAAAAGGAAACAACTTAACTTTTTAAATCATTTTACTCTGTTCATAACACACATTGGCAGAACTGTTCCATGACAGACGAGAAGAGATCTGTCATGCAAGGAAATGAAGATTTTCATAAAGCTCGAGGAGAGAAGTACCAAGGTGAAACAAGACTGCACTAACGTCAGAAACAGCGCCAAGGCTTGTAGGTAGGAACAAAGGCAGATCCACTGTAGTTGGCCTAAGACCACTAATGTTCCCTAAAGGGTATGTCCTAAAGTGCTTGGTAAATAGATCATGTGTAACACAATGTAAATGGAATAGCATGACATTTCAGCGAGTAAATCCTGTAAGTTACTGGGCAGGTTTTACAAATCCCATTCACCTGTGATAAATAACTGAATTATGAGTCTGCAAAAGTAACCCCATAAGTGGACACCCAGGTAAATTTTATGACCAGTGAAATTCTTAGGCCAAAAAATAGCCACATGTATCAAACCTACACTGAATTAAGCTGGAACCAGTGTTGGGGGTTTCTGAAAGAACAGAGCAGGCAAGATTATTCAAACAGAAGATCCTCGTCCTTCTCCTCAGCCAGAAGGTTAGCAGGTTCCATCACCTCTCCAGCTGCTTTCCGTTGTTCCAAGTCCTTCTCACTTTTTTCCTTAAGAATCTTTTTCTTCTCCTGTATTTTCTTTAACCTGTAAGATAAAAGGGGAGATTTTCTAAACACATCTTACTATTAAGAAGATTTGATTTCTTCTAGTTTTGTAACAAGGATGATAATAAACCTAACTAGGACAAAATGTGATAACCATTAATTTCAATATCAGTAATTTATAACCCATTAAAGAAAGATATGGGGTATAATATGCTAATTTAAGCTATAAGCTGATTTCACAAGCTCCTATCCAGGTTAAATAAATTTTGAAATCCATTCCCTAACGGAACAAATTTTGAGCATTCAGATATGTATTAAAATTTTGGATCAATGCTAAACATCACTGAAGGCGAGTATACATCATACAAAGATGCTGTTCAAGCACTTAAGACAACATGTCTTCCCTAAACGCTACTTCTTTCACCTACCTATGTTTGGCTTTGAATCTCTTAAAATTGAGGGCCATAGGATCATTAGGTAGATGTGTTTAGTAGGTAACTATACGTGTGGAAAGACTGAAGATAGAGACAAGCAGATAATGAGATCACATTGTGGTAAAATTGGCTAGGACCTACTATACCAGGAGAGAAGGATTTATCATTTAAGGAGGACAATGGACCTTTCCTTAGAACTGGGGTACAGAGGATGGATGGGCCCTCCAGCAGATCTGCTTGGTGCTGAAAAGAAAACAAGATGGTTCCTCTGTTGGCTGAAGGGACAAGAGCATTATCTGAGAGTAAGGAAGAAGGGAGGGCCATTCACAAACCTTATCTTCATACATGATAGTTATTATTGCTTCTTCTGAACCAGGAATGCTGACCCCATACACCACCAATTTAATATTTATCCCTACTAACTCTAAATCTTCATGACCAATTCCTGAACATGAATATTTCCAAAGCTCAGCTAATTTTATCTGGAAATGCCCCAAATACTTTATGCCATCTCCACACACACTCAACATGCAGTACATATTTGCTGATTAAATGATTCTAGTTTCTTTTTCAGTTTTTATGTAGGAGACACCCAATCTAAATTGTTTCATTTTAAAGAATAATCAGGTCTTAACGGTTTCTCTCAAAGGCCTAAATTTCTGGAGATGCCACATTTAAGATATATGCAAAACCTGACACTGATCTGTCTCCACAGCCTTTGGCAGTACAGTAGTCCCCTTCTACATGCAGGGCATTTATTCCAAGGTCTGCAGTGGACGTCTGAAACTGGATAGCACTGAGTCCTTTGTATACTGTATTTTTTCTTATGTAGTTGGCCCTTTGTGTCTGCAAATTTCATATCTACAGATTAAACAAACTGTGGATTGAAAATACTATATATACATACCTATTATAGTTTGATTTATAAATTAGATACAATAACTGATCTTTTTTCTTACTAAGAATTTTGACTTTTTCCCTTATATAATGCTATGGCTTCTCTTTGGCATATCTGAATTACCAGCATCAATACCTTTGTGTTTTGGGGCCATTATAAAATGAAGTAAGAGTTATATGAACACAAGCATTACACTAGTAAGACAATCAATGGTTGATCTAAGAACTGAGATGGCTACTAAGTGACAGTTGGGTAGGGTATACAGTGTAGATAAGCTGGACAAAAGTATGATTCACCTCCTAACACTGGGACAGAATGAGATTTTACATGCTATTTAGAACAACATGCAAATGAGAACTTCTAGATTATTTCTGGAAATTTCCATTTAATATTTTCAGACCGCAATTGACAACAGATAACTAAAATCATGAAAAGCAAAACTGCACATAAAAGTACTGTTGTATTAATTTTTGCTTCATATTTATCACAACAAAGTACAAGCTATGCTAATTCTAAAGAACATAAGCCAACTTATCATTCAACAAATTGAGCCTTTGGATTACGGAAAACAAAAATGATCAGTAACTGCCCAGTTTCAACAAACCTATAGAACTCTTCTCGCTCTCTTTCGTCCAGCTCTGTGATGATATAAGCAAGGGTGCGTTCAATCCGGGGAATGATGACTAGAGTTTAAAAAAACACAAAATGAAATATAATTCAAACTCCCCAAAGTAACTACTGTGAATATTTTGGTATGTGCCCTTCTATTTTTTTATACAGATAACACATTGCACCACAATAGATCCAACAATGAATATACTGAATATACATGAATAGGGAACATTAAACTACAAATGTTATTTTAAAATACAATTTCAATCTATGATTAAAAATATCAAGCAGAGGGCTGGGGGCATAGCTCAGTTGGTAAAGTGCTTGCCTTGCATGCACAAGGCCCTGGGTTCAATCCCCAGCACCACAAAAAAAAAAAAAAAAAAAAAAAATCAAGCAAAGTCCAGGCATATTGGCACATCTATAGTCCCAGCAACATGGGAGGCTGCGGCAAGAGGACTAGAAGTGTGAGGCCAACCTCAGCAGTTTAGTGAGGCCCTAAGCAAATCGGCAAGACTTAGTCCCAAATACAAATAAATAAAAAGGGTTAGAGTTATAGCTCATTGGTAGAGCACCACTGGGTCTAATCCCCAGTACCAAAAGAGAAAAAAGGTGGGAATGTGGCTCAGCAGTTAAGCACTCATGGGTTCAACCCTGGGTACAAAAGAAAGAAAAAGACTGAGTAGAGGAGTAGGGCATTGTAGCACATGCGTATTTTCCCAGCAATTGGAGAGGCTGAAGCAGGAGGATCACAAGTTCGAGGACAGCAAAATAGAAAATAAAAAGGACTGGGGATGTGGCTCAGTGGTAGAGTTCCCCTGGGTTCAATCCCTATTATCACAAAACAAAAAAACAAGCTGTAAGAATACTAATAAGTTAATTTTATGTGAGTTATTAGCTCTACTTTACACAGAATTTGCCTCTTCAACTTTTAGAACATGAATTGCCTTGAAGGTGGGAACTATTAACCATATCCATTTTGTTTTGCTTGCAGTTCCATGTGCCCTGGCCTAGCAAGCAATGAAGGTTGGGGATGGAGCTCAGTGACAGAGCACTTGCCTAGCACATGCCTGGCCCCGGTTGGATCCCCAGCACCACCAAAAAAAGTTTCTAGATTTTTAAAAAATGTTCCTTTAAAACATTAACAGAGTACCAAAGGAAAATTTTTGCTTCAAATTGTGCTCCTTTCTTGCCTTAAAACTTTAATGGAAACAGTTTTTTGAACAAAAAGCACTGTTAATACTATACAGTCAAGTTTTTGAAATAATGAAATAAAGAAACAGAAAACAAATGTATCAAATGAAAAATTTACTTTTAGGATAGTCTAAAGAGATGGATTTAAAATTACATATTTAACATACACTGTTCAACCATTAGAAAGAACTAAAGAAAACATCAAGGTTTTTGAGAAACAGCTTTTGTCTTTTACCACCTGCATGCCTGACCAAATATTAGTAAGACATTCTACAATTTTTGACTCCCCCAGATCATATACATGGATCTCTCACTTCACTACAAGTTTTGGTACTACTGACACTTCATTTTTCACACTAAGGGCAGCACAGTGTCTTATTCACCTTTCAATTTTCAGTACTGAGCCTAAGTCCTAGTTGTTGCCTAACAAGATGGGAGGGAGAAGTGAATGAACAAAGCACCTCTCAGCAGCTTTGACTCACCATGTTCAATGGCATTCACACGCCTGTTAGTTATCTTAATAGCTTCATCCAGAGTAACAAAGGAAGTCTAAAATAAGAGAACAAATTAGTATTGTAAGCACAAAGTCTTCCTAATAATACCCTGTTCACTTGGCTCCACTCAGACTGTAACTATAGAAAACATTTAGGAACCTAAAAGATAACTTCTTTTCAACATGCTTTAAAAAACAAAATTTGTGAGAGATTTCCATAGAGCTAACACTATTTCCATGTTATTATAATGTGTTTACTTCAGATTCACCAATATAAAGACAAAAATTACAAAAGCACAGACTCATTAATAACCTAGATATACATTAAGTGGCCACAAAAAGAAAAAAATGGCTTCATGCACAAATCATGTTATATTTGCATTTGAAACTAATATTGACTATGGCTGTTCTCACCAATAGAGTGAAAATGAAACACTACACATATATTTGGTAAATAAGGAAAAGTAGGAACAATTGTGCAGAAGCCACCATTGTAGAAATCAAAACATTAGGGTTTTTTTACACAGGATCATAGGCAAAGCATAAAGTACAAAGGGCAGTGTGCTCCTGCACAATCTCTGAATGTCTCCACCAGCATATGAGAAATCAGACAGGAGTTCTCCAGCTTTGCTGCTACTTACCTGTAGCGAAGCTAGTTCCACCAGTAGTTCCACTGCTTTGGCATAATTCCTCTTTAATTTAGCCAACTGTTCCCCACCTCTGGCTAAACCAGTTAGTTCATAACCTGAAAAAACCAGTCAGACAACATTTGCAAATAGAGAGTAAATAATCTCCCATAAAATTCCTAAAAGGTAGTTCAGAAAAACACCAAACATGGAAAAACAAATGCTCTTATTTCCTATTAAATGCAAACATAAAGTGCCTATCTCACTTCCCAGACACTGTAGAAGCATCTGCTAAACAGTTTCCCTGAAGGATTCTAGTCTATTACAGCTAGAGATGAAAACTTTTTTTTTAATTTTTAATGTTTTTTAGTTGTAGTTGGACACAATACCTTCATTTTATTTATTTTTATGTGGTGCTGAGGATCGAACCCAGGGTCCTGCACGTGCTAGGTAAGCACTTTATTGCTGAGTCCCAGCCCCAGCCCCAACTTTTTTTTTCCCCAGTACTGGGGCTGGGGCTGACAGAGCCTTGCATGTGCTAGGCAGACCTCCACTACTAAGCCACACCCCAGCCCTAGAAGAGAAGCTTTTGACCACCCTTCAATTGACTAGCTTCCTTTGAAACTACACTGCCTGTTGCCCACAGGACAGTATTAGATATGGAAAACGAAAAATCCCAAAATAGTGAAGCCTGGGAAAGGGGAATGAAAAAGAAAGCCTTACATTGACGGCTTTCATCTCTTTCAAGATAAATCCTTTTCAGATGCTGGCCACAGGCGAGGAAAAAAGTGCTTCAATTAAACCTAGAATGATAGTCTCCTGGAAACACTAATCTCTTCCAAGATAAATCCTGCCAGGTGCTGGCTACTGACCCCCAAGCAAAAGACCAAATTCCTGAGTGCCCAAACTGACATACTCACTAAATCACCCATAACCTATATAAACCCAGTCCCCTCCTTTGTTCAGTGGCTCATTTTCCACAGGAGAGTGGGTCCATCAGAACCATGATCCCATTCCTGAATAAAGGCTTTTGGCTGTTTTGCGAAGTTTGCATCCAGCCTGGTCTCTTTGTTCTAACAACAGTGGCTCTCCATTAAGAGGGGACTCTCAGAAATGCTCTCTATTTCTGTATATAAGCCATACTTAATATTGCATATTTCATAATTGAATATATAACACAAACCAATAAGGCACGAGTGCCAAAAGAAAGAATATTGTTTCTATGGAGAAAAAGCAATTCTACTTCTGGAAGACAAAATAATGCTACCAAATCAGAAATGGAATGAGTGAGACAAGAACAAAATACTGGAAAGGAGCTATAAAAACGATTCAGCTGGGCACAGTGGTGCATGCCTGTAAATCCAGTGGCTTGGGAGGCTGAGGTAGAAAAATCACAAATACAAAGCCAGCGTCAGCAATTTAGTGAGACCCTAAGCAACTTAGTGAGAACCAGTCTCAAAATTTAAAAAGTGAAAAGGGCTGGGGATACGGCTCAGTGGGGTTAAGCATCCTTGGGTTCAATTCTGGTTTAAAAAAAGATTCAGCATTAAGATTACATCATAGTTGTCCGGGATTGTAGCTCAGTGGTGAGTACTTGCCTTGCCCATGTGAGGCACTGGGTCTGATCCTCAGCACCACATAAAAGTAAATAAATAAAATAAAGGTATTGTGCTCAACTACAACTAAAAAAGAAAAAGATTACATCATAGCATCTAAGATTTTATTCCACTTTATAAAGAATTATAAACAATGCATTATAGGTATAGTTTTTGCAGAAAGACAACACAGAAGTCTAATCAGTGTATTCTTAACAAAAGAAAAGGCTTAATATTTTTTAAATAGCAAATGATTATAAAATTATATATATCTACATTAAAATAAAACATTTTTCAGTACTAGGAATTGAACCTATAAGCCCTCTAACACTGAGCTACATCCCCAGTCCTTTTTATTCTTTTTTATTTTGATTGTGGGCCTCACGAAGTTACCTATACTAGCCTCAAATTTGTGATCTTCCTGCCTCAGCTTCATAAGTAGCTGATTATAGGCACACCCCACTACACCTGGCAAATGAAATATTCTAAGATGCACAATGTTTTCTGACTCCTACCAAAGTACTTTTTTGATTATCTGATTAACTAATGTGACCTTAGCTAATAAGAGAACTTCTAACACTGGAACTTCTGAACTGTAAAACAGTCTGACTAGTATCATTTCCAGGACCAGGTTCATTTAAAGAGGAAAGAGGTGACTGGGAATGTAGCTCAGTGGTAGAGTGCTTGCCTACAGGCACAAGGCCCTCAGTTTGATCCCCAGCACCCAAGAAAAAATAAATTAAAAAATAAAGGGGAGGGGCTGGGGATGTGGCTCAAGTGGTAACACACTTGCCTGGCATGCGCAGGGCGCTGGGTTCGATCCTCAGCACCACATAAAATAAAATAAAATAAAATAAAAGATGTTGTGTCCACCGAAAACTGAAAAATAAATATTAAAAAGCTCCCCCCCTCTTAAAAAAATAAAAAATTAAAAAAAAATAAAGGGGAAAAAGGTGATCCCAGACACACATATTAAAAAAAAAAAGTGTCACACTTACTGTCAGTTCCTTCGTGGTAATGTTCGAATACTGGTAAAGTAACACCTGTTAAATACAGAAGCATTTATAAACATGGTCTTGAAGTACTGTTTCTTAACTACTGTTTCCTATATTTCTTTTTCACCAAATACTCAGAAGTCAAGAGATTAGGCCTGGAATTATAATTGGTTTCGATTAATGAATTCAGAACCTGTCTTCTCAATTCTGAATGATAAGGACCTATTAATGGTTTTAACATGTAAAGTCAGTCAAGTTGTTCTAAGTATAAGAAAAAATGGCATATCAAGGTATTATTGTACAAATGTTAATTTTTAAATGTCACCTTTTTTCCTCCAAGGATTCTAAAGAGTTGAAAAGTCACCTGCTACATTGTCTTTCTTCGCTCGAATCTTCACTTGGGCTTTATTTACATTTTGGATAACTGTGGTGCTACAGAAAAAGACAAAGCCTTTATTTAGTTTTATTTTTAGAAATCAACCTACACAGACCCAATGAGTTAAGTCTCCACATTAAATGAGAAGAAGAATGAGATGTCACAATGAAGTATGTTTTGGTAATTGTCTTTCTGCCAGAAAAGGGGAAAATCTGCCATAGGAAGGGCTCAGAGAACAGAGAATGAACAATACTTAAAACATTAGGCATAAGAAATATTCAACGGGGGCTGGGGATGTGGCTCAAGCGGTAGCGCGCTCGCCTGGCATGCGTGCGGCCCGGGTTCGATCCTSAGCACCACATACCAACAAAGATGTTGTGTCCGCCGARAACTAAAAAATAAATATTAAAAATTCTCTCTCTCTCTCTCTCTCYCTCTCTCTCCTTTCTCACTCTCTCTTTAAAAAAAAAAAAAAGAAATATTCAACAGATGATTCTAAAGTACATGGATTTTTTTAATTTTCAGTCAGTACGTGGATCTGTGATAGGGGTTCCCATTCTGCTAGTGTAATTTGGAAGAAACTTTCTTTCTTTTAGGTTTGTGTGTAGTTGGTTAAGCTGTGGTTCAAATGTTTTACTCCAACTTCCTTTCAGGTTTTACCTGACTCCCTATCTGGTTCCAACATAAAGTGTTTTCCCCATATCCATTCTAAAGCACACTTACATACTACTGATTTCCTCCCTGAGCTGAAAACTTTCAATGCAAGCTGTTTATCCTACCAGCACTGGCAAACATTAGTCTACCACCTCACTTGGCCATAAGGCCTTCAGACTGTAAGGCCTACCTCCAAGGAAAGCACCTACTTAAGAAGACATAATGTCATTGGGAAAAGAAAACTAAATTAAAAAATCCTAAAAACAACTTCCACTTGTCCCTCACAAGCCATCTTACTTCTGGAAGTATTAAACTGAGAATAACAATGCTTACCTACCTCACAAGGTTATTTGGAGAATCACCAACACTTTCAATTGACACAGACTGTTTGAAAACTACTGTGTATCCTTTTTCTAAATAATGTACTGGGGCTGGGGTTGTGGCTCAGTGGTAGAGTTCTTTCCCAGCATGTTTGAGGCACTGGGTTCGATCCTCAGCACCACATAAATATAAATAAATAAAATAAAGTTAATAAAAATAAAAAAGAATATACTGATATGACAAAAGCCATAAAGCTACTGCTTATTTTAGTACTGGGGAGAGATCCCAGGGGCACTTTACCACTGAGTCACATCCCCAGACCTTTTTATTTTTTGAGACAGGGTCTCATTATGTTGCTCAGGGACTCACTAAATTGCTAAGGCTGGCATCAAATTTGAGATCCTCTTGTCTCAGCCTCCCGAGCCATTGGGATTACAGGTGTGCATCACCACATCCAGCTAAGCTCCTGCCTTTTAACTAATGGATTCCATTCTCAAAAATTTAGCCTAAATAGAAACAAAAAATATATACCCATGTATTTTCTCTAATATTCAAACACGTGAAAATCAACCCAAAGAACCTGCATCAGGAGAAAAAAATTAGTAAATCATGGTACACCTTGAGGAAGATTGTATAGCCATGTGAAAATAAGGAAAAATTGTTTATGATACCACATTAAATAAAAACGAACTATAAAAATCAAGTATCCTGTGCCTGCAACTACGTAACAGTGGTGAGGGGGTTAAGTGTTTCTCCTTATTATTACTAAGTCATTTATTTGTCTTTAATGCTTATACATTTTAAAATTTAGACTGATTTACAATGAAATCACAAACTGAAAGCACTAACTTATTTTAAACCAGCCTGCTGTGTCATCTTACCTGAAGTCCCCTGCTGTGAACTTGGCCTCAGCTAGTGAAAAGGCAGCTTCTCTCATCACTTCACCCATCAACATTTTAGTCTGGAAAAGTATAAACCCACAGCAGATTCAATCAAGTTTTTTATAAGGAAAAATTATATTAAAGTTAAGTTCCTTTAATAGCTATCCTATTTGATGCTAAGTATGAAATATCAGTAACAAATGTTGATTTGATAATGACAAAACAAATAAAAATTGCCAATTTTGAACAGTTTTGGTTATGATCACTAACACCATTGCAAAACTATGAGTTTTATAATTAAAGCATTAGAACACATGCATTAGTAAATACAAAAGTAAATATTTACTGAGGAACTTATCTTGGTCCTAAACATGTGATTTGCTCTCATTAATCTTTTAAATTCACTAGTGAATTTAAAAAGAGTCAAAAATCCTAATGCCACACCAATTCTAAAGGACAGCTGGAAAACTTAATTTTATAAATTTAAATTTATATATCCAATAATTTTTTTGAAAGAGGAGAAAAATTGGGTCAGATGGACAGGGAGTTGGCTGACCAAGTAGTAAAAATCTACAGCTACAATAAGGAAATACATCTAGTATGGAACAGATAAGAAGTAGAACAAAGTGTTTTTATAGGAAAATAAGCCCAGGCCAGGAGTGGCAAAACACACCTATAATCTGAGAGACAGGAGGCTGAGGCAGGAGGATTGAAAGTTCGAGGCCAGTCATGGCAATGTAGTGAGATGCTATCTCAAAATAAAAAAATATAAAGGGCTGGTGGGGGATGTAGTTCAGTGGTAGAACACCCCTGGGTTCAATCCCCAGTATTGAAAAAAAAAAAAAAGGAAAAGAAAGAAAAAAAAGATGCCTAGATATAAATGGGAATTTAATATAATGAAGCAACCATTCAACTCTTCATCCATTTACAAATGATAAATATAAATCCCTTACATTGCCCCCAACCAGAAATAAATAAAATGATCTAGACATTTTAGAAATAGAGTTTAAAAAAAAAACCAAAAACTATAAGTCAACCATAGTGGTGCACACCTATAGTCCCAGTTACCTAAGAGGCTGAGATAGAAAAAGCACATGAGCCCAGGAGTTTGAGGTTAGTCTGGGTCACTTAATGAGACCCTGTTGCAAAATTTTTAAAAAGTTCTTTATTTCCTGGCTGTCCTAAGCTGAGCAGCATTCCTCTGCCATTATGTTCTGTCTCACCTCTGGACCAGAGCAATGGAGCTGGACAAAAGTGGACTGAAACCTCTGAAATCAGTAGATGATATCAATCACTCTACTTGGACTATGCCTTTTTTTATTCTGACCACTCAGATCTGCTGTTGAAAACCTCAGTTCACCACATATATTCCTATTCACTATAATGAGCTCCACTGAGCAGAGAAAGACGTGTAGGTGGCCAAATGAATGCTCAGACCCAGTATGTGAATGCCTGATTCACAGCCTCATTTGAAGAGGTCAGGAAAAAATAAGGAAACCAAGACTGAGAAAACTGAAAATGTGACATGGCATCCTGGATTGGATCTGGGACAAAAATAAGACATTAAAGAAAACCTGGTGAAATCCTAGTTAATAGTAATATATTGATGTTGGTTTCCTAGATTTGACAAACATATCGAGAAATATGACATTAAAGGAAACTGAAAGTGAGTGAAGGATATATGGGAATTCTCTGCATTGTCCTTGAAACTTTTCTATAAATCTAAAATGATTACAAAATAAAATGTGTACGTAAAAAATAAGCAAAAAGGGCTGGGTATATTGTTCAGTGGTAAAGCACACCAGGGTTTACTCCCCTGTACCACAAAAATGACATTTTTTAAAAAGGGCTAGGAATGTAGCTTAGTGGTAGAGCACTTGCCTAGGATGCCCTGGGTTCAGACCCCAGTACCTTAAAAAAAAAAAACAAAAAACAAAAAACAAAAAAAACAGAGGTAAGGTTAAATTACATTATCCATGTAATTTTTTGAAATACCATGAAGCTATTATAAAGAATGAGAGAGCTGGGGTTACGGCTCAGTGTTAAAACACTTGCCTCACATGTGTGAGGCAGTAGGTTCAATTCTCAGCACCACATATAAATAAATGAATAAAATAAAGGTCCATCAACAACTAAAAAAAAGAAGAGGAAGAATGAGACAAGATTTTTATGTAATGATGTAGAAAGCTGTCCACATTCTGCCATCATGGGACAAGGGAGAGAAGGGAGCAGACCAGGAAATATTATGGGATTTTATAAATGTATATAACCTCTGCATGTGTGATAATTTTTGTACACGCTACCAAATATTTCATTTCAAATAGGTGACATAGGGATGAAAGACCATAAACCAATGTCAAGAAAAACTACCTCTGGAAAACAAAGAAAGGATTATTGTGGGGAAAGAAAAGATATAAGAGAACCTTTTCTTTTTAAAATATATAATTCTGTATTCATTTATCATTCACCCAAAAAGTACTGATTAAAACTTACTATACGCCAACACTATTTTAGGCATTAGAAATACAGTGCTGAAAAGTCTCTGAAACTTGTATCGTCTAGTGGGGCAAAACAAAGAAGAAAATGCTATATAGTAGTACATATTACAATACAAATAAAATAAAAAGTTGTGACAGTAGTAAAAATAGTGGTTACATCAGATTGTGTAATCAACAATGACCTCTCTGAAGAGACTGGAATGGCCAGGTGAGCCACTCCTAAAGAGCATTTTAGGGAGAAGAAAAAGTTGATAGGCCCTGGAGGACAACAGAAAGAATGCTCCAAATGAGGTCAGAGAGGCAGGCAGGGGGCAGATCAGATCAAGTGAGGCTTTGTAGGCATATTAAGGAGTTTGGATTTCATTAAGTGAACTACCCAAAACTAAAATCTATATGTATGTATGCTAGCATTTCTCTAGTATAAACTTCTATATATTTCTCTAGTGTAAACTTGTCATAATGGTGTTTTTACTTTTGAAAGAAAAAAATTTAATTAAAATAACTAAAAATTAAGTGCTAAGGATATATCTCAGAGGTAGAGTTGTGCTCAGCATGCACAAGGCCCTGGGTTCAAATTCCAATTCCAAAAAAGAAAAAAAGAAATAATAAAATGCCAAGGTCCATGCTAGATTTTCCTTAGATATTTATAAAATAAATACTGCTTAAGCAAAGTTCACTCTACCTCTATTATCTTCTTCAGGATCTGTCGGAATCGAAGAGTTAGGGCATCAGATTTTTTCTTCAGGAGGTTTCGGCCTGTTTGTGCTCCTTTTAAACGAGCCTTCATGATGGTCTGTGCCCTACAGAAATTACAAACAAAAACATTCATTGTTTTTGCTTCAAAGACATAAAATATCTCTATAACATAGTGTTAAAATTATCCTTTATTCTTTTGATATAATGAGAGAAAATATAAAATTTGTAGCTGAGAAGTTTAACTTGTTTCTCAATACTAGAAATTTCTACCCTTATTGTTCCATAAAAGTTTATTTACTTACAACAGAAACAATTCTATAATCAATATCTGGAGTATTTATTAAATCATAATATGCTCTATCAGGAAATTTATTTTATGATGACAGCATAGTTCAAATACTTACTTAACTTGTTATATTTAATAATGTTTCAATTTCCATGGAGATTGAAATATTCTATCCACTAACACAAATCAAAATTTGGGTGCTGATTACTTCAGTAGTAGAGCACTTGCCAAGCATGCATGTGGCCCTGGGTTCAACCCCCAGCACCCCAAAGAAAAATTTGCAATGCAATTAACCTCAAGACCAACAATTCCACTTCGAGGAACTTATCCTAGAGATTTATTCCCACATGTATACAAAAACACATCTAAAATTAAGGATGAGTACTCCATCCTTATTTGTAATAGCAAAAGAATGAAAATTAAGGCTCAAGCAGGGTGCAGTGTCACATGCCTGTAATCCCAGCTACTAGGAAGGCTGAGACAGCAGGATCACAAGTTCAAGGCCAGCCGAAACAGCTTAAGGAGACCTATCTCAAAATAAAAACTAAAATAAAGGGATTGGGAGTATATAGTTCAGTGGTAGAACATCCTTGGGTTCAAACCCCAGTACCATTTTTTAAAAAGGCTCAACCTAGGACACTGTATCCCAACCACTGCCACACTGCCTCATCTTAATACCCTCTCAACCTCCTCACCCCTCAACCCCCCCATCCCACACCCCCACACCCCTTCATGGTACTAGGGATTGAACTAGGGTCTTGCACATGCTAGGAAGGTGCTCTACCACTAAGCTGCACTCTCTCAGTTCTGCCCCACATTAAAGATGTCTAGTAGTGGCAAATAACAGTTCTTGCCTTGCAAAGCAGTTAGCAGTGGCTGACTGTGCCCTGATTGGCCTCAAGAGGTCTAATCAAATGAAGCTGGTTCAGTTTCCAGCCTGAACAGGAGCTATCCACACTAATGTGTACATTTAATATACAGTATTGTTGACACTACATACCAGAATTGGGGCTGAAAGGACTTGGATCAAATTTTGGTAAAATCCTACTACTGAAGATTCCAATAAGTTTAGAGTGTACAGGTAAACTGGTTGATAATTTTTTTTGGGGGGGAGGGGAGTTAATTGGGAATTCGACCCAGGAACAATATACCACAGAGCTATATATCCTCAGCCCTTTTCATTTTTTGAGACAGGGTCTCACCAAGTTGCTTAGGGCATCAGTAAATTGCTGAGGCTGGCAATTTGAACTTGTAATCCTACTATCTCAGTGTCCAAACTGCTGGGATTACAGATGTACACCACAGTGTCTGCCTACAATTTTAATAATAATTTAATATTCTGCTAATTTATTATTAGTAGTAGTATCCTGCTAGATGATTGCATCTCAATGAAAGGAGCAAATTTTAATTTCAGAAGACTCTATGAATGACCCACCCAAGCGCTCAGAGCTAATATGCAAAAGAACCTGGATTTGCCTGACTTCTGTTGACTCCAAATCTTTCATGTCTCTTTTGCTTCCACTCTACACTTGTTTTGTTTTCTCCGGTGCATAAGTGAGTGAAAGCAACATTTCAGAGGATATATCATGAGTGGACTGTTGATGAAACAGAAGTCGCCAGTGCATTTTCTAGCTGAGGACTTTTTAAAAAATATTTTTTAGTTGTCAATGAACCTTTATTTATTTATTTTTTATTTATATGCGGTGCTGAGAATCAAATCCAGTGCCTCACACGTGCTAGGCAAGCACTCTACCACTGAGCCACAACCCAAGCCCTAGCCTAGGACTTTTAAAACCTGTTCTTTTACAAATTTCAGAACTGCTCAGGCCTACCAAAAAAAAAAAAAAAAAAGTTGACCTTCAGCTAGGACAATGACTTTGTTTTCAGCTGAATCAAAGACATCTGACTACATGACAAAGAACTGCTGTCAAGCCTTGGGGAAAATATTTACTTCCTGCAACTGATTTTCCTCTCAACTTGAGTGCTCCCAAATAGCAGTTTTCACCTTCACAAACCTATCATTTTTCCTGTCTAAGCCCAAAGTCCATTTGTGCTTCTCTAGACTCAAAAAAATTCCAAAGTAAAAACAAAAACATGTTATCATTCTGACTACTGTCAAAGAAAAGACATTAGCTAAAACAATGGGGAAAGATTTTATTCAGGAACCACTGTGTCACATGAGGGAAAGCACTGGGCTACATTTTGATTTGTGTAGAAGTAACTGGGCTTGTTAAAAAAGAGAATGAGGGAGTGGGCCTTGAGTGAGAGAAGTGAAAAATAACAAAGCTTTGGTCAGTGTAAATGCAATTAGGCCTGGTGTGTCTGTTAGCTGGCAATTATGGAAGTTAGGGTTCTATCCTGCCACAGAGACTGGGAGACAGAGACCTTATCCTTCCCAATGATTAAATTTCAAAAGTACTCTCAGATCCTTCAGAGGGACACTTCTTAAAGGTTTACAGAAAAACTCTTTTCAGTAAATGCTCTAAGAAACGGAAGTCATGGCTGTATTGATCAGGAGTTGGATAGAACAAATATTTAATTCTCCTAGCAGCTTTCAGCTTTTTCAGGTAAGCATTTTATTTTGAAATTTTTGTAGTGCTGGAGATGGAACCCAGAGCTTCATGCATGCTAGCCAAGTGCTCTGCCGCTGAGCTATACCCCATGACCATATTTTAATGGGGAGCTAAGGTCATCCTAGGGCATGGCCTTATGCTGCTCCAAGCCACTGTTGTTTCTCAGTGCAGAGATTTGGATGGAGTTTCGGAGTTACCCCAACGGAGTACTATCCTTATCTGTTTCACAGGATACGCTTTTCTCCACAACTAGCTCTTTTCCTGCCTAGTACAATCAACCTAATGGTCAGTTGAGTGAAAGTAAAGAGCAAATTTACAATTCCTTCATTTCATTAAGAGCTATAGTGACACTGGCAAAGACAGAAGTTTGGAGTCTGAAAATAACTGTTTAAGGGTCCTCATATACTGTAAGAAAAATTACAAGATGAGGAAAAACACCCCATAGGACAGGATAATGCAGAGATCTAAGTATCAGAATCAAAACTTATTTTCTGCTTCCTCGAAGACAAAAAAAGAAAGAAGAGAGCACAAACAAGAACAATATTTATTCTCACAAGTTGTTAAGCACATTTGTGAAAACTTTAAAACTTTCATTACAACTGACCAACGATGTGACAATGATTTCAGGGCAATAGAAAAGGCAGTACAGGACTGAACAGATTTCAAAGCATGGGTTGGTTCAAGGAACATTCTCTGTAGATTCTTTATGGACGATTTAATCAAGACGCTCTCTCATCCTAGATAAAGCCCCCCAGGCTGATGGGAAAGAACGATATGTAGTAAACAACTATCCTCTTAACAATGTGATGAGCAGTCTTAACAGAGATCTTTTAAAAGGGTGCAGTGGTAATAGCAAGAGGACTGCCTCAGAAACGCAGAGATACAGTCCCACCGCCGCTGACCCTTCAGGATCTTGGAAAATGAGTAAGGGAATCCAAGATTGAATCCGACGTCCAAGCTAGGGCGACTCGAATCAATCCCCACTTTGACTAAGGGACCTTCTATATGCTTCCCGTGGCGGTAAACGTCCCTTCTCATTAACAAACCCCCTCGACTTTTCCGTCGCGCCGCTAAACGGTGATCTCTGTGAAGTCAGAGATGGCGACATTTGACTTATATAAATCCAGTGCGTGGCTCAACAACCGTAAGGGGAATGAATGACTCGACTAACGAATAAAGACTGCGGACCTCCACAGAAGCCAGTAGGACCGGCGCCTTTTCCTATCTCCCTGTCCTGTCTGGTTCACCCAGGAGAATCCTGGGTTCAAGACAAGACCCTGGAAGAGAGCAAAGGATAGGCCGGGAAACTAGGAACCTCACTGGTGGTCCAGGGTACGGAGGGATCACGCTCCAGACAGGCGTTCCTGAACCTGAGAGCGCCACTCCTCTCGTTCTTTTACTTACATTCGCGAGGGAAAGATTTCGATCCGGTCTTTGCCCGACATTCTGACGATGACTGTTCGGCTCGGATCCCCGGCCGGGCAATCGAGGGGGCAAGAGCTCCAGTACTGGCCACTACCGTCCCTTCCTCTACTGGAGTCAACGTTTGTGTCACATGACCACTCGCGTTGCTAAGAGGTAGCAGGGATACCCATTTTTCACTTCCGCTTCCAGTTGTCGGAGACGTCAGGGAGTGGGCTGGACACAGACGATGCCCGGATATGAAGGCGCGCGCACCGCGGAATTCCGGTTCGACTCCCAGCCCCTCCCCTTCCAGCTCCCTGGCTGCTGAGCAAATCGCTGCACGTGCTGAGCGAAAAAAGAGAACACCTCTTCTCTTCTTCCATCTTTCGTCTCTAGTCACAGCGCCATCTCATGGTTAATTAAAACTTTGAGAGGATTCATTCTTCGAGGATAACGAATCAGAATCTTGCCTGCTTGACACGCCTCGGAGGTTACTTGTAAAAATCTAAAGATAGCTAGAAAACGTAATTTTTAGATCCTTCTGTGGTCCACATTCCTGGTCCTCGGAGGACCCACACTCTATGATCGATGGAGAGGAAGGGCCTTTTCCTTCGGCGCTTGCGTGGTGAGAGGTGGTTCCGCATGCGCGCTGGGGTGGTGCGAGGCGCACGCTGCGGCTGCTGGGCGGCTGGTACTGATCTACCAAGTCTGAACGTTCGGACTAAAGAGCTCGACGCGGGACTTCAGTGCGGGATTCACACACATACCTCAGGTGACTAATCCCGCAGTTCGGTTTACCCGAGAACCCACTTTAGTTTGTCTACTGACAGGAGTGGTCGACAGGGTAGGCCCCGAGCTAACTCCCCCTCCTTTTCCCGACCCGGCGCGGGAAGTGTCTGGACACCATCGCCACCGCCCGCTGATTCAGCCAGGGCCTCCTCTCCGGCTCTGTGTCGGTCTTCCTGTGTGCCAGAGCCAACGTTGTATCAACGGAGAAATCTCGGGAAGGAAAGTGGGCCAAGTGGATTTTACTCCCTCTTCAGTAAATGTTTAAAGAGAGCATGCCCCGAGGTGGGGCGACCTCGGGAAAACGCCCTGACACCCCATCCCTGCTCCGGGGCGCTGAGCGCTTGGCCTTTTTCCTAGTCTGAGAATTATTTTAAATCTGTATGTCCCCACTTCTCCCGCCCAGCGATATTGCCAGAAATTTCCCGATTCTCTGGAATTCATACCTCTCAGACAACCAGTAGAATAGGAAAAGAGCTGGGTCCTAGAATAGTTTATTAATCTGATAATTTAGTTTATTAATCTGATAATTAAAACTGAAGTTTAAGATACCTTATCCCTCGAGTTGTGCGTTTCTGTAGAATGAATCATCCCTTGAATATTGTTAGTATCTGTTCGTCTCATTTTGGAAACTGTAGTCTTAGAATTTTGCATAACTAAAGCCAAAAATTTAGAGTTAAATGCCTATACATCGTACGGTCCCTTTAGTTATACGCCAAACTTAGGCTGCTTTAATTTTCGTTAAGCAAGAAGCACTTTTTTTTTTTTTTTTGAGAAAAGACTTGATATAGAAGTCTTAACTTTCTTCTCCCGATTGAGACAGTTTGAAAGTTTTGTTTGTATAGCACTTACAAACCAAGAATTATTTTAGAGGCGCATGAGTTTTCCCAACACAATACACTGGAAAGGAATGTGGACTTCTGTATCCATTATGGTGACTTAACCATGCTCTGGTTTAAGGGATAAGTCCTATCGACCACTGGCAACATTACTGACAATGCAAAGTATTTGAAATTAGTGTGAAGTTTGGTTATTATCTTTCAAAAGATAATTGATGTCTTTTATATCAGAACACATAGCTGTGTAGTGCTTTGGCCTATTGAAGCTCTCTAGTTAGACACTCCAGATTTAATGTCAGAAGACTTGAGTTTAGCTTTTGCTTTGGTAATTGGTATGCATTTATCATTGAGGAAGTCATTTAATATTTCTATTTCTTGGCTCCCTGTTAACTGATTGTTTCACTATGTCTTTTGTAGTACTTTATATTGTAATTGTTTGCATATTAGATTGTTTCCAACTTTATATTTAATTCCTTAGGTAAGAATCTTATATCAGTAATGTATAGTACCTAGTAGATTAACAAAGTTATAAAATGGAAATGATACTTCGTTTGCCTTTTTGAATTTTAGGGTAGTATGATACACTTTTCAAAATATTTTTACATATATTTTCAATTGACACCTTCACAAACCTGTGAAGTATTGATGAGAAAAGCAGTTCAAAGGGAACCTTTCCCTAGCAACTATAGATAGTAAGTAGGAGAACAAGAGGCTACTGGCCTGACTTGACACTTGTTGAAGTCCAAATTTTAAAAATCTGAATGTTTTGAAAATGATAGAAAAGGCCAAGTAAATATCTAGTGTGGTTTCTGTTTTCCTGAGGGGGGGGGAGCTAGTTTTTTTTTAAAAAACTCACTTTAAAAAAAGTTACTAGCATTTCATAAGATGACATGTTCAAATCTATTAAACAATATGCAGATGGTTGTAGTGACTAGCTACTTTCCTTCTTTGCTGTGAATAACATCATTAGCAACATTACATTATTCTGTATGTTGCGAAGAGATTTTTTTGCCTCCTAAAGAAGTAGTTTTTATATCTCTTTTCAGGATTCTTTTACCCTATTTTCTAACTTCCTATGTTTGTTAACCATTAAATTAAACCTTTTTTCCCTGAAAGCATCACTTTTACTTTTTGGAGAAACTTCGTGAAAAAAAAAAAAAAGAAAATGTAGTTGATATCTGTTAAATCTCTAAAAATTGCTCCATATCATTAATTTGGTATCTATATGAGACTCTTTAAACTTTCAAATGTAATTATGTACAGATATTTGGCAACAGCTGCTCCCCCACCCCTGAAAGAGCCCTGTTTTAAAATGAAACAACCATTTCAGCTATTTCTTAGTGGATAATTCTGGCCATTGAGTGTCTGCTTCCTTTGTTTGCTAAATCCTTATGTTGTCAAGCTACAAGAAAAATACTTGACTGCCACATATGTTGTTGTTTGTTAAACAAGATAGATTGATGCTAATAGTTTGCCTGAATTTGTAGTATATGCTACCAACACTGAATATCTATATTGAAGTTGCTTTTTGTTTAAGATTTTTTTACTGCAACACATTTGCCAGTAATACTGAGAGAAAATATATCCTGATTTGTAAGAACAAAGACTCTGGATCCAAACTTCATAGGTATCAGTATATGAAAGAGCAAGTTGGTTTCGTGCCTCAATTTCTTTATCTGTAAAATGGTGGAAATAAGTAAGAAAGTGGTACCTCAAGGAGATGGTGGTGACCAAATCATATAAGACCTGGTAGGTAATGGAAAGATAATATAAGTCCCATGGATATCTTCCCAGTGGTAAGGTGTACATGGGTGACAGGTGGCAGCTCTATTACTGCACTGCAGCATAACTCTGGTGTTCCATATGCTGAATGTAGGTGGTCTGCCTAAAGTCAGTTATTGGCAGCCATATTTCCCTGTTAACAAAAATGTTATTAAATAAATTTTCATAGATTTTTCTTAGGCTTTTAGGTCCTATTACTCCCTGTCTTCTGAACTCTGCCAAAGTAAATGGGTTAAGGTTAATAGAAAAACGTGAAAATCATCAGCCACTATTAATTTGAGAGCCTCTTTGTTCAAATATACTTCTACCCATGACATAACGCCAGCTTATGGATCATAAGAAAGGTGGTACTGAAAGTAGCCTAGGGGTTGAGAGAAACTTGAACTTTGTAGTAAACGGAGATTTATAAAGCTGTTCTCAAAATTGGGTACTCAACAAAATAAAAATTAGAGGGGCAAGTGTGTTTTAAAAGGGAAAAAAAATTGTTAAACATTTTGTTATTAATAAATTTTTAGGTTTTGGTTTCCTTGATACCTGATACTTTAATTTTGGCTATAATAAGTGATAATAGGCTGGAGATGTAACTCAGGGTTGGAGCATTTGCCTGGTGTGCCTGAGACCCTGTATTCATTTTCCAGCACTACAAAATAAAAAAAGATTGTATATATCATTGGTATATTGGCTAAGGGTTAAGTTGTCAGAAAATTCTTCCCTTTACTTACTGGGTGGTAACATCCAATCTTAGCTGACTCGGAGAAAGAGTAGCTTGGATTTTGCTGACAAGTTTATAACAGTGGTGATGCTTCCCATCATTTCATATTCTTTAAAGTGGTAGTAATAAAATAGTATTTTATTCTTGAGGTATTCCTTTAATCCTTAAGTCTCAGGGTACTTTATAGATGGTCATTATTTTTTATGATTTCTCTAAAACTGATGGCAAAGGATCACCCAAGCTTACAAAAGGTAGAGCAAAATAAAAATTAAAGCTTGGTTCCTGGATACCCATCTGTTTTCTGATACTATTTAAGAAGTTCAAAGAGATGAGAAAACAAATCTTTTATTTACTTTCACTGGCAAGATGTAGAAAATTGACATTTATTTTGACCTTAACTGAACACTTAATTTGATTCTCTTGCTTAAATTGCAGAATGCCGGGTCTAAGTTGTAGATTTTACCAACACAAATTTCCTGAGGTGGAAGATGTAGTGATGGTGAATGTAAGGTCCATTGCTGAAATGGGAGCTTATGTCAGCTTGCTAGAATACAACAACATTGAAGGCATGATTCTTCTCAGTGAATTATCCAGACGGCGTATCCGTTCTATAAACAAACTCATCCGAATTGGCAGGAATGAATGTGTGGTTGTTATTAGAGTGGACAAAGAAAAAGGTAAGAGAAAAATATCTTAAGACTTTTAAAATTATAGTCTGGAGGTGTAATTCAGCTCAAGAGCATGTGCCAAGGCCCTGGGTTCTATCCCCAATACTACCCAAAAGGAGTGGGAGAGAAAAATTAATAAAATAATTATAAGAATTTAACTCAGTTTATTTTTAAATATATGTATTTTTTTATTTGTGTACTACTGTTTAAAAATTCCTTTCTTTCTTTTTTATAAACCAAAGTTGCTGGAGAAGTATGTCAGTTAGCCATCTAAGCAAGACCACTTGGGTTAGTATTTGTTTATTTAATTACAGGCTGTGCCACTGTGCCTGGCTAAATACATATAACTATTTCTAAGCAGCATTTGTACAGTATTAATTAAAAAGAAACAATCAAAATGGAGACTTGTTAAATAAATCAGTGTGTTTTTTATTCAAAATGAGATTTTAAATATTCTGATAGGGGAAGATCTCTAGGGTAGGATTAAAGAAAAAATCAGTGCAAAAGAGCCCATACAAAAGGGTTAGGGTCCTATTAGATGAAACTTTTAAAATAAGAGCTATTTATCAGGACTGTGTACATATATAAACCCTGGACACAGAAAAATACAACTACCAAAAGACAATGAGAAAAAAGCAAAAGCAGGGCAAAACTGAAGGCAAGTCAATACTTTGAAGAAAGGAACTACACTGGATGTTTTATATTTTGCAGTTTTGTATTTTAGACAGTCATAGCAAGTGGAAAATGGTAGTAATGATAGCATTAAAGGAGAAATCCACAAAGGAAGACCCCTTAAGTCTGTATGTAAATTCTGCCCAAATCTCTGGCTGACCCATGAACTACTAACATATAAGAGTAGTGTCTAAGCAAGCAGCCCAACAGGATTAAAATCTGATGATTTCAGCTACTTCCCACAGACAGTAAATTGCCTATTAAAATATTTTTTTTTAATTGGGATACTGGGGATTGTGCCCAGGGGTACCCTACTACTGAGCCCTAACCATTTTTGTTGTATTTTGTTTTAAAACAAGGTCTTGCTAAGTTGCCAAGGCTGGCCTCAAAGTTACAAACAATCCTCCTGCCTCAGCTTCCTGAGTTGTGGAGTTTAAAAATCATCTTTTTTTTTTTTTTTTTTTTTTTTATGGGGGCAGGGGTACCGTTACCAGCGATTGAACCCAGGAGTACTTAAATACTGAGCCATATCGCCAGCCATTTTTATTTTTTATTTAGAAACAGGGTCTTGCTAAGTTGCTGAGGCTGGCTTTGAACTTGGGATCCTATTCTTAAGAGTAGCTCGCAGGAATCTAGAGTCTCTGCCAAATACTCAACAATGTCCAGGATGCGTTCAAAATTGCTAAACATTCTGTTAAATGGTTTGGGTATGAAGTATTTCCCAAAAGCTATGTGACAGTGCCAGGAATGTTAAAAAGGTGAAGTGATTAGTTTATAAGGACTGTGAGTTAATTGGTGAATTGATCCATTAGTAACTATCATGGCCCTTCTGCCATGATAATTCTACCTGATCTTAGGTCCAGAGCAATGAAATCAGGCAACCATGGACTGAACCTCTCAAATAGTCCCAAATAAACTTCTCCTCCTTTAAGTTGTTTTGTCAGATATTTTTGGTCACAGCAGTGTAAAGCTGACTTAATACACATACAAAGAAATAGGAAAATACAACCTCTAGAAAGAGAAGGCAGTCACTGAAGACCGGCTCAGAAGTGATCCAAATGATGGAATTAGGAAATAAGATTTAAAACCAGATGTTATAACTGCTTAAAGATACTAGGAAAATATACTTGTAAGGAATGAACAAAATGAGATCTTAGAGAAGTTAAAAACTTTTTAAAGAAGAAATAAATATAAATTATAACTGAAAAATATATCTGAAAAATTCACTGTATGGGCTAACAATATATTGAAGAAAACAGAAGGCTCCGTGAAACTTGAAGATGGTTCATTGAAAATAAACAAATCAGAAAAGATAGGGGTACAAAAATATGGAGAGAGCCTCAATCATCTACCCAATATCAAAAGCTCTATTATAGTAGAAGAGACAAGAGAAAGGGGGCAGAAAGTATGTTTGAAAGCCAAAAGTTTTCTATATCTGTTTAGAAAAGTAAATTTTGCAAAGTACAGCCTTCACACAGGGTAAATGCTAATGAAACTATGTCTAGGCACACCAAATTAGTAGGAAAGAAAATCTTGGAAATAACTAGAAGAAAATAACATGTTACATACATAAAAATGCTGATACAAATTACTATGGTGTTCTTATTGGAAATAATAGAGGCCTAATATTTCTAAGCCAATGAAAGAAAAAAATTGCCACATGAGAATTGTGTATCCTAAGATAATATTGATTAATGAAAGTCAAAATAAAGACATTTTCAGGTAAATAGAAACTAAGAGAATCAATTGCTAAATTGAGCTGCATTATAAGAAATAGTAAGCGGGGGCTGGGATTGTGACTCAGAGGTGGAGTGCTTACCTAGCATGTGTGAGGCACTGGGTTTGGTCCTTGGCACCACTTAAAAACAAATAAGTAAAGATATTCTGTCCACCTACAACTAAATATATACATACACGCACACATACACACACACACATGTGCATAAATATGTGTGTGTTTAAAAAAAAGAAATGATAAAGGAAATTCTTCACAGTAACAAGAAATATGTGAGTAATTGTAAAATACTATTTTACCCCTCTTATTAATTTTTTTTAAATTCATTTATCAGGCTGTGGTTGTCGCTCACTGGTAGAGCACTTGCCTAGCATGTGTGAGGCACTGGTTGGATCCTCAGTACCACATAAAAATAAAAGTATTGTGTCTGTCTACAGCTAAAAAAAAAAAAAAAATTTTAATGCATTAAGCTGTTTGTCTTTTTTGTACACTTAAGATTTTAATTTGTTGAAGATGACTGATGGCACAAAGAGGTCAATGCCATCAAAGGAAGATTTTTATTATATTTCTTGAGAGAAGGGGTATTCCCATACCATGCCATACCTTGCAGTTTTAGTCAGAAAGCAGAAGGAGTTGCAGGAAATCCTAGGCCAGGGCAGGATAAACAACTTAGAATTGGCTATTTTGAATGATTTGGGCAGATCTGGAGGCACAAAGGCTTCTGCCTATTGTCTGGTATTTCCTGGGTTGATTTGGGGCTAGTCTAGGCAGTAGTATTGCTTGAGTGTAGGAGTTTTGGGTCCAGCCTGGGCAACAAGTGAGACTATTCTCAAAAAAAAAAATGGTGGGCTGGGGTTGTGGCTCAGTGGTAGAATGCTCACCGAACACATGTGAGGCCCTGGGTTTGATCCTCAGCACCACATATACATACATAAAATAAAGGTATTATGTCCACCTACAACTAAAAAATATATATATTTTTAAAAAACTGATAGATAAGAACTGCTTATGGAAATGCAAAAATGGTACATGCACTTTAGAAAACAATTTGGCAGTTATTAAGTACATGTACTATGCAACCCAACAATACCAATTTCTTGGTATTTATCCACGTGAAATTAAAATGTATATTCACAACAAAACCTGTTTGGTTTTTTATAATGATTTGAGGGTTAGTGGTTACATGACTGTATTTTTTAACAAAACTCAGAATTGTACACTAAAGTGGTGAAGTTTACTATGTATAAATCATGGTTTTTTGAGGAAAGAAATGCTCAGAATCTGAAACAGTCCAGGTACATTAACATTAACATCAAAGGAATTCCAGTCATTCATTTTAATGAATGTAAAAAAGCATTTGACAAAAACTCAATACTCATTTATTAATAAAAAGTCAGCAAGCTAGAAATAGAAGGGAATTTTGTTAATCTAATAAAGGATGTCTAGGGAAAAAACTACAGATAGACTTTCTTCTAGGATAGAGAACAAGGCAAGAATGTTCACTCATCACTGTTATTTAGCATTGCACTAGAAATCCTAACAAGGAACAAGTTTGCGGGTTTTTGCCACACTAGAACTTATTTTTCTTTTTTTGTACCACGGAATGAACCTGGGGGTGCTTAACCATTGCATCCCCAGCCCTTTTTTATTTTGAGACAGGGCCTTGCTAAATTGCTAAGGCTGGTTTTGAACTTGTGATTCTCCTGCCTCAGCTTCCTGAGCCACTGGGATTACAGATGCACCTTGACAAGTTAATGTAGAAGAAAGATCTACTATGCAGAATTGTTGTAAGAGTTTAATGAGGTGCTTAAGTAAAGCGTCTGTCATCATCACTTGGATATGGTAGTCACTTGCTAGATGAAAATTTTTATGTTCCTTTGGTGTCTGTATGTGACCTCTGTTGAGGTTAACCTCTTAAACTAAACCAAATTAGAGTGACTTTCTACTCTGTAAAAGCTCAGGGAAGAAAGTAGAGGATAGAGAGGCATTTGACTAGCTAATTTCCTCCACCAAAGTAATAGAGACTGTTTTAAAGGGCATTTCTGAAAACAGATCAGAATCTCTCATCTTTCTTACACAGTTTTTGTTGATAAGATTTTAGTGGGGAATAATTGTAAGATTATAGTAATCAACTTGGTTGTAAGAATTGGTCAGAATGGTATGCTGGCACTTGATGATTTTTTCCAAAATTTTCTCATAGGATATATCGATTTGTCAAAAAGAAGAGTTTCTCCAGAGGAAGCAATCAAATGTGAAGACAAATTCACAAAATCTAAAACTGTAAGTTCATTTTTGAGTCAAATTTGTGCACTATGTTTAATAAATAGCAGCATATGCCTTTCCTGGCAGAAAAATGAAAAACAAAAACTTTCATTTTTTTCTTACTCTATTTTCAATTATGTGTTACATGGAAATCTAATTTGAAGACTTAATTCCAGAAGAGTACAATTACAATGTTATTTATCTCATCAAGCCACTACCAGAAAGCATTTCTAGTGATCTGATGTTCTCAAGTCAGTACTAGAAGTTAGTGTTTTGAGGCCATTGTAGATTAAGTTAACTCTGGTAGTGGTAAACAGAATGCCTTTATTTGTTGTTGTTGTTGTTGTTTAATGTGGATCGAACTCAGTGCCTCACCCATGCTAGGCAAAAACTCTTCCACTGAGCTACAACCCCAACTCCCATTTTACTTTTTTTGAGATAGGGTCTTGCTATGTTGCCCAGGCTACTCTTGAACTCAGTAGGCTTTCCTAGGGTTGGGGATATGACCTAGTGGTAGAGTACTTTCCTGGCATATGTGAGGCCTTACGTTCAATCCCCCAACACCAAAAAGAGGGGGAAAAAGTGATATTCCTGCCTTAGATTCTCAAGTAACAAGGATTGCAGTCATATGCCACCACATGTGGTAGCTTAGCTTATTTCTTTTTTTTTTTATTTTAATTTTAATTTTTTATCTTTTATTTATATATGACAGTGGAATGCATTGCAATTCATTACACATATAGAGCACAATTTTTCATATCTCTGGTTTTATACAAAGTATATTCACACCAATTCCTGTCTTCATACTTTGGATAATAATGATCATCACATTCCACGAGCTTAGCTTAATTATTCTGACTGGGATGTGTAAAATGTAGTTCTTGTCTTTCAACACTGTTCTCAGGTAAAGGTAGCAGAGACAAATGTTAAAATATCAAAACAGGAACCTGTTATTAATAAGGCGGTTGGTCATTCTCTCTCTCTTTCCTTTTGTGATACTGGTGGTGGACTGCAAGGCTGGTTCATTCTAAGCACACACTCTACCACTGAGCTATACCCTCAGTTCAGATTCTCCTTTATGTTTTTTTGTTTTGTTTTGTTTTGTTTTTAATATTTATTTTTTTAGTTGTAGTTGGAGACAGTACCTTTATTTTATTTATTTATTTTTATGTGGTACTGAAGATCAAACCCAGGGCCTCGCATATGCTAATGAGCTTTCTACCAATGAGCCATAACCCCAGCCCCAGGATCCTCCTTTCTTAATACCATTGTTTATGGTTTCTGTGTTTTCCACGGATATCTTTTGTTCCTTTCTGTCATGTGTGGTCCTGTCCTCTAGATAAAATACCAAGGAAGTAATGTTCCAATTTTTTAAATTTCAGTTAATTTCAGTAAAAGAGAAAAAAAGGTTAATGCCCATCAGACTATTATCCAGATCTCTCTTTGTCTCTGTTTTACTAATGCATTCCCACATCAGTAAAATATATTATGGTTTATATCTTTGAAAATACTATCAGTAAAATCTCTTTTTAATAGGACCTTAACATTCATAATGTCTTTGGAGCAGCAACATGGGCCCTTGGCATTACCCCACTACTTAATAGCAATGCAGAATCTCAAGTCCCACCAAGTTTGAGGAATGTTCTAAGACATTCCTCTTTTTGGGGGGGTCTCCCTTATATTGTTAAACTTGCCCAGCACGATTGCATGTACCTATAGTCCCAGTTACTTAAGAGGCCAAGACAGGAGAATTGTTTGAACCTACAAGTTTAAGACCAGCCTGAGCAATGCAACAAGACTCCATCTGTCTCAAAAAAAAAAAAAAGTTACCAGAATGATAAGGTGATAAAATGAAACAGCCAATATTAGTACCTTTCCTCGCTCAATATTCACATGTAACTAACATTAAAACCATTTAAAATACTTTTTCTCAGGTCTAGGGTTGTGGCTCAGTGGTAGGGTGCTTGCCTAGCATGTGTGTGAGGCACTGGGTTTGAACCTTAGCACCACATAAAAATAAGTAAATTAAATGAAGGTATTGTGTCCATCTACAACTAAAAAGTATATGAGAAAAACAAATACTTTTTCTCCTCTTAAATCCTGTGTTATTTTTGGGAGCTTAGAAAAGTAGTTTTGCAAATGAGTGATGCTGAAGGATAATTGTTACATGATAGCAGAGAAAAAGAAATCTTAAATTTTAAGTTTCAATTGGTTCTGTGTTTTCATGTGGAGTAATAAGAACTTATGTTTATATACCAATTTTCTATTTAGAGTATGTGTTTGTATATATCTAATACATGTAAGAGCTCCCTTTCCCAAATGAAACAAATTCAGAGATGTTAATTGGTCCCATTGTCAAAGCTTATTCCCAGTCTTAGGACCCTAAATTGTGTACTTCCTTTATGTGTTATACTCACTTGAATACATTATTATGAGAAAGTGAATATTTCTTTTTAGCTCAAAAAAGCTAGTATGGAGAACTTTTGTTATTAAAGAATTACTGTCAAATTATGCTATCTACTGAAATGTAGCAATAACGTTTTTATAGATTTCTTTTCTTGAAATTACTGAGCTTTTAATTCTGTTTCTAGGTTTATAGCATTCTTCGTCATGTTGCTGAGGTATTAGAATATACCAAGGATGAGCAACTGGAAAGCCTGTTCCAGAGGACTGCCTGGGTCTTTGATGACAAATACAAGAGACCTGGTTATGGTGCCTATGATGCATTTAAGCATGCAGTCTCGTAAGAACACCTTGATTCTGCTTGTACTGATATGTCAGCTGTTGGGTCTGGCATACAGGTTGATAGCCCAGCATTTTACTCACACCATCCATTTATTAAGTTCTTGCCATATTTAGATAAAAATATCTTAAGTACAAAAAGGCCCATGCTAGCTGGGCATGGTGGCATACACCTGTAATCCCAGTAGTTTGGCAGGCCAACACAGGAGGATTGCCAGTTCAAAGCCAGCCTCAGCAACTTAGCTAGGCCCTATCTCAAAATTAAAATAAAAGGGGGGATGGAGTCAATTCCTGGTACCAAAAAATTAAACAAAAGCCCCATGCATTAGGACAATCCTACATAGTCAAGTCTTTATAATTTCATATACAATAGTTATATAGTTCATAACCCATTTGCTTTCATCTAACACTACTCCATTATACATTATTTTTATTTCCTGGTTTCATTATTTATTATAGATGACTTCAGACCAGTGTGGATATCTCATCCAAAACTATAATTTCTTATTTACTTTACCTCATTTCTTTGACCTTCAACCATGCCACTTTAGCCATTCTTCCATGTTTCACTCTGGGCCTTTTTATCAGCAGGTTTTGCTGTGCCTCTAAAACCTTTAATCCACATATTCTATTTGTGTGCATCCATGTGTTTTAGTTACTAGGAATTAAATCCAGAGCCTCACACATGATAAGCAAGTGCTCTACCAACTAAATCACATCCTCAACCCTATTTTATTTTATTTTAAGACAGAGTCTCACTAAGTTGCCCAGCCTGTCCTTGAACTTGGAGTTCTCTTGCCTCAGCCTCCCTCACAGTTGGGATTACAAGTGTGTGCCACCTTGGCATGTATGCATATTCTGTTCTTTCTGTCTTGGCTCCCACTTAGTCCTACTCTGTTTCTTAAATTCTTATATTATAAAAGCTTATTCCAAGTCTTAGGACCCTAAATTGTGTACTTCCTTTATGTGTTATACTCACTAGGTTTATACTCTACTCTAAACCTGTTTTTTTCTTTTGTCTTTTCACCCTTTCCTGCTTTCTCTTTCTTATCCAGTGTAGATACCATGAACTATCATTTCAAGAACTTTCTTGCCAATATCATGAGCTTTTGCCCTGTTTTCCCTTCTGTTACATCCAGCCTTGGAGTGATGTTCCTGCTTTCTTTCTGTGTACTTATAGACTGCTGAGTGCTGCTAGGAAAAATCAGTTTCACAGGTTGGTGCCGCTGTATATTCATGGTTTCCAACCTCTGCTAGATTTTCACTGCTGCCTCATATTCTCTCTGCTCTTTGTCAGTTCTTCCTCCCATTTTTATAGTGACTGTTTTAGAGCTTTTCTATGTTCTTTGTCAGAAACACCCTACCTCTCTTCTCTCACTCTTAGCTGGTGTGTTCACTTCCCTTTTTATTTTACAAAGAAAATAGGAGCCATTGCACAAGGACTCCTCATGTTAGCTTTTCATCACTGTGACAAATAACCTGAGAAAAACAACAGAGGAGGAAAGAATTCAGAGATTTCAGTCAGTGGTTGACTGGCTCCATGACTTGGGACTTGAGGTGAGGCAGAACATCATGGTTGGAGTGTGTAATAGAAGAAAGTTGCTCACCTCATGGCAGCCAAGTAGCAGAGAGAGAAGAAGGGGTCAGGGGCAAGATACAGATCCCAAGGGCATACCTCCAGTGACTTTCCTCCAACCAGGTCTCACTTCTATAGTTCCCAATAATATCTTCAAATTGTTAACCCACTGACAGGATCAGAGCCCTGATGATCCAATCACTTCTCATAATCTCCATTGCTGCATTGAGGACCAAGCATTTAGCATATGGGTCTTTGAGGACACTTTATATCCAAACCATGACACTTATCCACTTATGCCCACTATCATGAACATACTTATCTCTGTCCTACCTGTTGTTTTCTTCTGTGCTCCTGGAATTCATTTCCTTCCTGTTCAATCTAATCTTTGCTACCCTGCCCAGCTCCTGCTCAGTGATTTCTGTTACTCCCTCTTTGATCTTCATCTTTTCCCTTTATTGATTTTGCTCCATCAGCATAAAAATATTCTCTGGTTTCTTTGATTTATACTTTAAAAAAAAAATGTTTTGACCTTCCGTCAAATTCTAGCAAGCACTGTTTTCATTTAGCAGCCAGAATCTTTCAGTTTTCTGCAGTTGATGTCTCTGTTTCTTTACCTCTTAGTCCTTCCTAGATGTTAATGCTCTAGAGCTGCCTCACCACTAAGATTACTTTCCAACCTTTTTGCTGCCAGGATGTGTTGATCGTATAAACTTTAGAGTGGATGAGCAAGACCTGGATGGATCTAGTAGAGCCCCCAGCATACCATTCCAGTTTGTCTTCATGTGACTTTTTTTTTAATCACATTGTAGAAAGGTGGGAATCATAATAATAATAGCTAACTTCACATAATTCTAACAATCTGTTTTTAGTGCCATTATTATCCCTACTGTATAGTTGAAGAAATTGAGGAAAAGAGTAAATAATTTGTTCAAGGTAACCAAGCCAACAAATCATAGAGCCAGTATTCAATCCCAGACATTGTGGCTCCATCCAGAGTTTGTTCTGTTAACCATTAAGCACTGTTTATTCTTCTATTCTGCATTCTTTGATCAGTACATTTTTATTTCTTTATTTGCAGTACAGGGGAGTGAACTAGGGGCACTCTAGCGCTGAGCTACATCTCCAGCATTTTTGTTCGTTTTTTGTTTTTAGGTAGTTTCTCATTATGTTGCCAGAGTTAGCCTGGAACGTGCAGTCCTTCTGCCTCAAGTTCCCAAGTCACAGAGATTGGAGACATGCCAACCATGCCCAGCCTTTTTTTTTTCAATGTATTTTTTTTTTTTATGGTACTGAGGATCAAACCTAGATTCTCACATATGCCCAGCAAGTGCTCTCCCATAGAGCTACATCCCCAGCCCAGTCTTTTATTTTTAATTTAATTTTATTTTTTGGCCAGGGATTGAACCCCAACCACTGAGCAAAACCCCCAGCCCCTTTGTATTTTTTATTTTGAGACTTGGGTCTCGCTAAATTGCTTAGGGTCTCTCCAGGTTGCTGAGGCTAGCAAACTTAGAATCCTCCTGCCTAAGCATTGCTGGGATTACAGGCGTGTGCCACCACACCTAGGCAGTCAGTATATTTTCTGGTTCACTGTCATCACTGGTCCTAGCTTGCCCCTTTAGCTTTTGTCTCCAGCACCTCCTCCATTACCACTAAGCCTTGGTATGTATTACTCCCTTTTACTCTTCTCTTGCTTCATCAACCTGTGTAGCAGCTCCCCAGGTTTAACAAATACTGATTCTTTGCTGTGTGTGCTTCATGTTTTTCTTTTTAATTAAGAAGTTAAACTTCTGAAATCATTAGAAACAGTGTTTTTCCTCTCTAGACCCATTCCCCTCATTTATCAGTGGTAACCTCTATTCTGAAGTTACTAGTGTGTATCATTATCATTTTATTTTTATGGTTTCATTGTATTTCATTGAGCATCCTCTATCCAAAAATCTAAAATACCCCAAAATCTGAATCTTTTAAAGCACAGACATGAAGCCACAAGTGGAAAATTTCACATCTGATCTCCTGTAATGGGATGCAGTCAAAATCTAGGTACACTGCCAGGCGCAATAGCGCATGCCTGTAATCGTAGTGGCTCAAAGCCAGCCTCAGCAAAAGTGAGGCACTAAGCAACTCAGCAAGACTCTGTCTCTAAATAAAATACAAAATAGAGCTGGGGATGTGGCTCGGTGGTTGAGTGCCCCGAGTTCAATTCCCAGTACCCCCCACACACACCCCAAAAAATACAGGTACTAAAAATACTATATAAAATTACCTTCAGGATATATGTGTAAGATATATATGAAAAGTAATTGAATTTCATGTTTAAACTTGGATCCCCTCCCTTAAAATACTGTATTCTGTATATGCAGATGTTTCAAAATCTGAAAAAAATCTACAACACTTCTGGTTCTAAGAATTTTGGATAAGGGATTTGCAACTTGTACACATATCCATAAAAGTCACGTAGAATAATTTGTATATTTAACATTTAATCTCTTGTATCTTTTTGCCTTATAAGGCTTTACTGAGCAGAATTTCTTCAATAGATGTATACCTACTACATCCATATTAATTTCCATATAATATTTCATTTTGAGAATATGCTTTGTCTTTCCTCTATTAAGAGATATTTAGCCAGGCACAGTAGCACACACTTGTAATCCCAATGATTTATGTGGCTTAGACCAGAGTGTTGCAAGTTCAAGGCCAGTCTGGACAACTTAGTGAGATCCTGTCTCAAAAAATAAAAAGGACTGGAGATGGGCTGGGGATGTGGCTCAAGCAGTAGTGGGCTTGCCTGGCATGTGCAGGGCACTGGGTTCGATCCTCAGCACCATATAAAGATGTGTCCACCGAAAACTAAAAAATGAATAGTAAAAAATTCTCTCTCTCTCTCTCTCTCTCTCTCTCTCTCTCTCTCTCTCTCTCTCTCTCTCCCTCCCTCCCTCCCTCTCTCTCCCTCTCTCTCCTCCCCCCCCTCCCCTCTCTCTCTCTCTCTCTCTCCAAAAATAAATAAAATTTTTAAAAAAAAAAAAAGGACTGGAGATGTGGTTCAGTGTAAAGTGCCCCTGGGTTGAATCCCCAGTACCAAAAAAATTAAGCAATATTTAGGGGTTTTTTTCTTTCATTCTATTTTCAAGCAGTATTACGGTGAATAATCATGTACATGTGTACGTTTCTAGGATATGTACACAGGAATGGAATTTTCAAGTCATCAGATTTTATGTGTATAGGTGTGAGTATGTACGCACACACATACACGTGTATTCTTTTTATTGATTTGATTTTCAAAATTACTCTTCAGATTTTTTGTCTAATTTGAATTCCCTCTAACAACTTTGTAGATATTCCTATATCCCCTTATTCGCAACACCATTTGGTGTGTGTCTCAAGATTTTTTTTCCTTTTGCTAATACCTTTTGATTTGCATGCTTCTGATTATTGGTGAGCATGCACATTGTTATTAGCAGCTTATCACATTTATTGATAATTTATTGATAGATGATTCTTCTTTTATGAAACATGTCATTTGCCAACTTTGTATTCATTTGTCTTCCTTCAGCATCCTAACTATACCCCATGTTATACAGTCCTGATATTTACTCATGCCATTCCTTATCTATCATAACTTTCTGTAACTGTTTTCCCTTTGCTTGTTAAGGTGTTACCATTCTTCCATTCTTATAGCCATCATTTTTTTTTTTTTTTTTTTTTTAAGACAAGATCTTGCTAAGTTGCTGAGGCTGGCCTCAAACTTGGTGATCCTCTTGCCTCACCCCGCCAAGTTACTGGGATTACAGGCATATAACAACACCATGCCCAGCTTTTCAACTCTAATTCTGACACTGAAGCCAGTGCTTTATTGTTACATGCATTATTCTGTGGTGTATTGTGTCATGGTTCATAACTATCGATATTGTAACCTTGCCCTTTGTTTTTTTTGTTGTTGTTGTTTTATCAGAGATCCATCTATTTTGGATAGTTTAGATTTGAATGAAGATGAACGGGAAGTACTTATTAACAATATTAATAGGCGTTTGACCCCACAAGCTGTCAAAATTCGAGCAGGTAATTGACTTCCTAAATGATTTTTTAAAATATTTTGCATGTTCCAAAAAAGCTGTTAAGTAATTTGATTTATCAAAGAGTATGTTTCTGCGTCTACGAGTATAAATTATTCTAATATTTTTTACAATAAGAAAAGTTTGAGATTTGGGTGCTTTTCCCCTTCTCCAATACTAGAGATCAAGCCCAGGGTCCCTTGCATTCTAGGCAAACACTCTACTACAGAGCTACATTCCCAGTCCAAGAAGTTATTTTTGCTTCTTCAGAGTCATAAAATGTATATATTGTTGTCATGAGTTCAGCTAACTTGAGGTTAGCCCCTTTTTAAAGTAGGGTGAGTGATTCGGTGGTAGAGTACTTTATCTAGTGTGTACCAAGACCCTGGATTTGATTCCTAGCACCATGGATGAAAAAGAAAAAAATTTTTTTTTTTTTTTTTTTGTACCAGGAATTGAACTCAGGCGCACTCTACCACTGAGACACATCCCCAGCCTGATTTTGTCTCACTGAGTTGCTTAGTGCCTTGCTTTTGCTGAGGCTGGTTTTGAACATGTGATCCTCCTGTCTCAACCGCTGGGATTATAGACATGCATCACCACGCCCAGCAAAACAAACTATTTCAATAGACTATGATTCTGGACTGAATGATTGCTAATAGCTGGAAATATTTTCTTTGAGACATTTTTTTCTATACAAATACTATATAAGAACATACACTAGGAGTAGGGATGTAGTTCAATAGTAGAGTGCATGCTTCAAGAGGCCCTAAGTTCATTCCCCACCACAATCACCACCACGCCCCAAAAAAGTGGTCTACGGTCATATATAATTTTTGTTTACAAAACTTAAATCATACCATGTAGAATTTCCACCACTTAGCTTTTTCTGTTGTCACTGGTACCCTTCCATGCAGAGCATAAGAATCTTGTTCTTTTTGATAGCTGGATAATATTTCATAAATTACTCACTTACATAGTTTTCTTTAGGACTAATTCCTAAGAATTGCTAGGTCAAATAGCAATTCCTAAGCAGTTCTAGACAGGTTACTATTAAAGTGTTTGTTAAATTTGTCTTCTATAGTTTTGTTATTAGGTGGTTTAATATAGATGAGAAGATAGTTTTACTACATATTCAAATATTTTTAATTGTGAAAATTAATAACTGGGATTGATTTCTAATTGATAGGATGATGGACCTTTTCATAAGCATTTGAATGCTAGTACATTTGCTATATCTCTGATTCTTTTAAACCTTTAAATGTTTCTTGTATTTTTGGTATCAGTTTTTGGATTTTTATAATTTTAGATATTGAAGTGGCTTGTTATGGTTATGAAGGCATTGATGCTGTAAAAGAAGCCCTGAGAGCAGGTTTGAATTGTTCTACAGAAACAATGCCCATCAAGGTGAGTCATCTTCCACCCAAGGCCCTGGGTTGAATCCCCAGCACTACACATGAGAAAGATCATGTTTTATGTTCTTAAAATTGAATGTCTTAAGGATTTCTTCAGTTTAGGGGCAGTTAGCACCATTGTGCTAATGATGACTATAGTTAGGTCAGCCACCATAGACTCCCAAATCATAATTCTTCCTAGTCTTTTAGTGGACTGTATCATAATACTAGATAATATCATTATATCAGTTAGCTTTTGCTACATTAATAAACATTCCAAATTGCTAACCTACAGAATTGAGAGATGAGTTTTGGGATGATTTGTTAGTGCAGGAGATTAATAAACAAATCCTCAAACATCTTAGTAGTTGTGTTGTATAGGTACATTCATAATTGAGTTTTTGTCTTCTTTAGATTAATCTAATAGCTCCTCCTCGGTATGTGATGACCACGACAACCCTGGAGAGGACAGAAGGTCTCTCTGTCCTCAATCAAGCTATGGCTGTTATCAAAGAAAAGATTGAGGAAAAGAGGGGTGTGTTCAATGTTCAAATGGAGGTGAGTTCAGTGCTTTCATTTTTCCTTTGTTCTTAAAGTTTGTAGGAAACTTGAGTCACCTATAAATGATTTTTATTCCAAAATACCTGATCACTGCCTTTTGAATATATTTAGGATTGTAAATCTACTAAATATAGAATGATCATTGATGCAGAGAGTTCCTAAAAAGGGCTTTATAGATAAATAAGAATTATCAGCACTAGAATGTTTTTGTGGGATGGACATTCAGGCCTACATTCACTGATGTTACATCGGTAGAAATGAGAAAATAACAGTAGAAATGAGAAATTTATTGTTAGAATTTGAATGTGGGATGTTTAAAATTAGACCTTAGAATTAGGAATAAGCTCTTGTCTTTCCCTCAGCTCAACAAGAATTGAAACATAATTTCCATACGTATACTTGTGTGTATATATGTATGATTCTTTCTCTGAAAAGGAGCAGTAATTTATTTTGCCCAGAAGATACATTCTTTGTAGGATATTTTTGGTCTTGGAGTAATATCCACTGATAACAGTTTTAGATTATAAAGATGATAGAAAATACAGTTCCATTTTAATACACAGTTCTTTTTCTTGTACTTCTCAAATTTCTTCTATTTTTTAACTAGTAGAATTTGTTAGTGTTAAGTCAACACTCAAAAGTGAATAGATATGACAGTTGTTAAGAAAGGAAAGGTTTTTTTTTTTTTTTTTTTTTTTAAGAGTTAAAATTAGCCAGGTGCACACCTGTAATCCAAGCTAATCGGGAGGCTGAAGCAAGAGGATCACAAGTTTGGGGCAAACTTTGGAAACTTAGCAAGACCCTCCTCAAAGTAAAATTCAGAAAAGGGCTGGGGATGTAACTCAATGGTAGACTGGCCCTGGTCTGAATCCCCAGTACTGGGGCAGGGAAAAGAGTTAAAACACTAAGCAATGGTAGTATTGAAATTGAATTTGCTATTTAACTATTTCACTTTGAAATTATGCCTCTGCTTCCACAGCCCAAGGTGGTCACAGATACAGATGAGACTGAACTTGCAAGGCAGCTGGAGAGGCTTGAGAGAGAAAATGCAGAAGTGGATGGAGATGATGATGCAGAAGAAATGGAAGCAAAAGCTGAAGATTAACTTTGTGGGAAGCATAGTCTAATTTGAGGAACATGAAGCAGCCCTTCTTGGCTATAAACCCTAGACTTGAAAGTTTTCCAGTATTGAAAACTTCAAAGCCGAATATTTTTTATTTCTAAGTATTTAAATATTCCAACACTGTAAAACATGAAATGCCCTCCTAAATGTCAGCTGTTTTCACACAGTAACTCTTGACACGTTTTTTTAAGGGAGCAGCCCAATTTCACGAGAGAAAATCTTTGAGCTTAGAACAGTCCTAAAATTGGGCTTGTGATTTCCATTTCTGATGTCTCCAGATTGGCACCCTTTGAGTTCAGTGCCTCCGTGAGATTTACCAGGGGCCCCCAAAATAAACAATAACAATCCCAATCTTTCTATATAAAATGTATTAAAGCAAAAATCAAATAAATTTCTGGGATATTTAACTATAGGCCTCTTCCTTCTTGTCACCAGTTAAAAGCATTCTGAATGAGAAGACCCTAATTCTCTTTTATCTTTATTTTGGTCTAGATGCAGAAATATAAGAGCAAGTTATCAAAGGATATGTACAACAAACCCTTTTAAGAGAAAATGATTTTAACTCAATCACAGTGATATTGACCCTTGGAGGGTGTAAAGCCTTAAAATGCAATTAAAGAATTACATTGTTATGTGCCTTTTAACCTATTTGAGATTGATGACAACTTGTGGTTATGAGAGTTTATGACACTGGGTCCTTATTGATCTACTAACCACTTGGCTTAAGTTTGATTCATTCAAGATGGTAAAGTATGTTTGTATTTAAAGATGCTGCTTCTTTGATTTACTTATTTTGAGTATCATTACCCAAATTTTGATATTTTTTCACCCCCTTTAAAATATCTGCTAGGTACCACATAGATCTTTGGTTCTCTTTATAACAGAATATAGATTTGTCTGAATGCAGTTATAGTGGGGTTTTTTTTTTACATTTTATCTTCAAGAACTAGTTGTTATAAAAGTATATGCACAAAATTAATTTCACAGGTAATATATCTGATGGTACAGCTACAGTAGTCGGGTGTAGAAAATATTGATTTACTTTGGTGTGTTTGTAGATTTAATCTTTTAGGATATTTGAGGTACTAGTTATTGAACTTTACTGCTAGCCCTAAGAACATCTATTAAAACATAGATCAGCCGGTCATGGTAGTGCACACCTATAATCCTAGTGGTTCAAGACACTGAGACAGGAGGGGCTCATGTTTAAAGCCAGCCTCAGCAGCTTAGCAAGGCCGTAGGCAACTCGGCAAGATCCTGTCTCTAAATATATGTGGCTCAGTGGTAAAGTGCCCCTGGGTTCAATCCCTGGTGCCAAAAACAAAACAAAACTCTGCAGATCAAACTCAACTCATCCTAGTCAACCCAGGACTAGTTGTAACTCATTACAGCTTTTTTTTTTTAATGCTTTTGGAGTTGGGTGCTCTAGTGTACAGCTATAGTCAGACCTGCTTCAGGAGGATTGCTTAAGCCTAGGAGTTTGAGGCCAACCTTGACAACAAAAGTATGATCGTATCTTTTTTTTTTTTAAAAGGGGAACTGATTAGAAAATACTTAGAAGAATTTATTGGTGAAAGAGTTTCTGCCAATTATGAAAGTTTGTCCGTTTGTTTACTTTGTCAGGTTGTGTGAGCTTTTTAATACAAAGATTTAACTTCAGATGGCCCATTCCAAGAAGTTTGCCAGCCAACATGCCACATGGGGAATAGAATCTGGATGTATTAAAGATTGACACAAAATTTTTACTTCTATATTTGAAACATCAAAGTTTTATAAAAATTCCTAGCATCAAAATGTTACCAAAATACAATAGGTGCTCCTTTGGTGTATGCATGGAAATTCAATGTTTACTGAAGTTTTCATACTTTGAAAGCCATAACTGTTGGAAAATATTGGTGGTTTCCATGGTGACTGATTTTTTTTTTTATCCTATGTGGGCCTTTTACTCAGTTCTGCAACAATTTTGTAAATTGTTGACCCTAGCCAAAGAAAGGATCAGTGTTTCACTGATAAGAGTACGAGAACAGATTGAACTTAAAAGTGTCTATATGCTGACCTAAAAATAGGGACAAGATACCTGAGGACAAGGTAAACAACATATTCCTGAACAGCTCGAACAGGACAGACAATGACAGTTGAGCAGCCTATCCAAATCCTGATTCTCCACCAAAGCCTTTTCATTAAAAATATTCATGTTACCTGTTTATTCCATCTCAGCCTCTGTGGTCAAATGGTTAGTTCTGAGAACCAAATTAGCAACAGGTTGAGTCTTGTTTGTGCATACCTTAATTGAAAATGGTGAAAAGGAAATAGGAAGGTTTGAACTTCTTTTATTTTTATGGATTTTATAGCAAGACAAGCTGATTCTTGTACAATGTTCAGATACTTTGGGGAGCTACAGAGATATGATAATCACTATCATGCTAAGCAGAGTTATTACTCAGCTGGCATACCTCAGCCATTTATAATTCACCTGTACATCAAGAACAATTTAAATAGTAGGGATTTTTAAGAAGTTTTAATGCTAGTACCATTTTGCTGATTTGCCTCAAGCTGATGGTCACCTACTTTCCAATTCTTAGAAATCCTATTTCCCATGTAAAGGCACCATTGTGCCAATTTTGAGATTGGGCAGTCATTAAACCAAGTGTACTTTAATTCAGATAAGCACCAATCAATACTCAAAAAGCAATAAACGTTTTTTTAAAATTGTTTTAAAGCAATAAAATTCAATAGACTTTAGACATTAGCAAAAGGCCAAATAGAAAATGGTGCTTTAAAGAGTAGGAATAAGGTAAAACAGCTTGGACTCCCCAATCCTGGTCAGTTATTATGGGACAAAATTAATAGAGGAGACGGTTCAGTCTTAAGAGGACACGTTTTTATTTAAGCACTATGGAAGTAGCCACTCCCCTTAAATATAGGTTACATATTTTATTTATTCATTGAAGTCCAAGCACTTGTACTTGGCAAGAACACTGGCAATGGCTTATGCCAGATCACTGTATAAACTTGAAAATAATAAAAATGTTCTTTAAAAATACTATGATACAGACTTTTCACTATTTTAGGTTAATCTCCCAACTGGGGGTGTTCGTTGGTACCTATTTGTCTCAGTGTTCATTCTAAAACCAAAGTTTCTCCAGGAATGGAGGTGCAGGCCTATAACTCCAAGGAGGCTGAGACAGAAGGATCACCAGTTCCAGGCCAGCCCCAGAAACTCAGTAAGACCCTGCCTCAAGAAATAAGGACTGGAGGTTTAGCTCAGTGGTAAAGCACCACTGGATTCAATTTGCAGTTCAAAAAGTAATGTACCTCAGAGGTAGAATGCTCCTGGGCAAAAAAAAGTGAGTCTTAGTGGCAGATCACTTGAAATGTTTCCATACTCAACTTATGAAACCTTTGAAAACTATAAAACTTTATTAAGGAGTTAAAAGCAGAAACAAATGTTGATTTGCATTTGAAAAAAATAAGATGTTGACATTTCAGAGAAAGCTACTTGGAGAGTACAATTTTATTTATTACAGAATGGCCAGAGTTTCAAAAAGGATGCATGAGGCACTGGGTTTGACCCTAGCACCACATTAAAAAAAACTAAATATACAGAGAGTTCCAAAAAAGGGATCATAGCTGTCTATCCTGATGGGCAGAAGTCAAGATACTGATGCCTAATGGCTGTCCTAGAATAGCTTTCCAGGTTGGTAATGGGAAAATAGAGAAGGAAATAGCACCACCACTGGCACCTGAGGAATTCACTCTTCAGCAGTCTCACTCCAAAGCAGTGCAAAATGTACAATGTTAATTTTTTTTTTGTTTTTTTTTTTTTTTTTTGATGCTGGAAATAAAACCCAGATCCACTGAGCTCCATCCCCAGCCCAACATGAAAGTCTTTACACACTCCATTCTCAGGAAATCCTGTCTACCATCTGGTAGGAGGAAGGAATCCTGGTCCTGCTCCCGAAGTGTCTTGTCATGTCAGTTTTTTGATAGCTTCAATCCACTCTGCTCGTTCAGCCTTGCTGCTGGCCTGGATATAATAACGTATGTCATCCTTAGTGATCACTTTGAAGAGATTTCCTTGGACATTCCCTTTAACCCCTAGGTAGGAAAAATAAATCAGTGATTAAATATCCATGTCTACTTTCAGCTTGAACCAGATGAAAGTCATCTGAGAAAGGGACAAATAGGAATATTTCTTATGTACATGGTTAGAAAATCCCATGAGGTGCATGTTTTTGCCTTATCCTTCCTTCTCCCTCCTCATCACTTTAAGGCCTGCTACTGGTTAGTCTGGACATTTCTGGAAATCCTCTCTCTGGCCCCTTATGCTAGCCACAGACCTACAGCGTCATTCAAAGAATCATCCAAGAATCCAGTATGTGAAAGTTAAGAGCAGGCACAGAATACGGTGTCTGACTTGAAATTGTATGACTTTGAACCTCAACTTCCACATCCACAAAATGGGAATATCTTCCTACCATAGCTGTCTGTTGTAGAATTAATGTGATAACAGATACAAAAGTGCGCTACTAAATGAAGCACCGTGTGAGCCGAGCTATGATTCATAGGTAGGAGTTTATGGGCAATCACAGAATGTGAGGAGAGAGAATATTTAAAATGAGAAATATTGAGTTGTATCCTTAAAACTCTTAAGAACATGCCATATGGACTTTTCCTGTTTCTGAAATTGACTTCAAAACTCACACCATTCATTATCTCATTGATTAAAGCCCTACTCAGCACCCAGAGCGCAGTCTTCCATGGCAGGAGAGGGGGATTCCTGAAATGCAGAGGAAGGCCCCTGAGATCTTCAGGCCAGGACTAAAGCTGCACCTTACCAGTGGGAACGCCGTTGTCCTCCAGAGCAGACACCAGTGAACCACGAAGAGAAAACCCACCCACTGGCCTGTTCTCTTCCTGCAGAGAAAAAGAGATCTAATTAGGATTTGCGAACGCACAAAAAGGAAGAGTTGCACTCTCCCCTATAATCATCCTCAGGCCAGTTAAAGGAGGATTCCAAGTTATGTGTAGGGCGGGAGGTGTAGATCAGTGGTTGAACCAGTGCCTTCTGGGTTCAATTCCCAGCACCTAGGGAGTCGATAAATTGTAATAGATGAGGCTAAATTTGAGCATCATGTGTCCAAGTTACTGCCAATAAGGAAGTTTGGGCCTCTTCCTTTCATACCCAGTAGCAGGAGTGCCACCAACATTGCTGTCACCAGGTCTAGCAGAGTTAAATATCAATCCTTCATTCTTGGAGATATCTCAAACTGAGCCTCTGATCCAGTACTACCAGGAGAAACATGCACCAGTTCCTTAACCCTCTTGTGTGTCTTGCCAAGCAATCAGAAAAAGACATAGTCATACTTCTGAACACTGATATTCCTGCATAGGAGACACGGTTATACAAGTCTCTGCTACATGGTGGATATGAAACTGAATGAAGCAAAAGTGGCTTGTCGTATCTCTGAATGGTTCAGACAATTACACACCAGGAGCCTCAGCCCCCTGGGTCCCTTTAATTAATCAATAATGAATTTCACAATAAGTGGTGCAGGCAGCAAGAAATAGGGCAAAAATGAAATGGTTAAGTAACAATGCCAGAGATGATGATACTGATCATGCTAAGGAAGGGACAGTCCAGGGGAAGAGGAGATCCACACCTAGAGGGACGGAGCAAGGGCAGCCTCTGGGGGAAGAGGAATCAACCTTGAGAAGTGAGCCCTGGGTGCGGCAATGGGCAGAGAGCCCATGCAGGAGGAAGGATGAAGGCAAAGCCAGGGAGAAATTAAATTGTCTTTAAGGGATGCTGACTGGGCTTCTGTAAATTCATCAAGGGACAGTAGTTGTCCCTTGGACTAAGTTAAGGCAAAACTGAAGTTTTATTTTATTCTTTTTGTTGATTGTCCCCCCCCCGCCCCCAATTTTGCTCAAATTGATGAGCTAGGGGTGTTGCTCAGTGGTACAGCACTTGCCTCACATGCTTGAGGCCCTGGGTTCCCTCCCCAGCAGTGAAAAAAAAAAAAAAAAAGGACTTGAGGTAGCCACAGAGAAGTTTGACCTTTATCCTATAAGTAGGTTTGAGATCAATGTGTGCGGTTTTGTTGTTGGTTTTTGTTGTTGTTGTTTGAGGGAGGTGTTGGTGTTATTTTGTGTTTTGGATACTGGGGATTGAATCCAGGGGCACTTTACCACTGAGCCACATCCCCAGCCCTTTTGATTTTTTATTTTGAGACAGACTCTCACGAAGTTGCTTAGGGCCTCGCTAACTTGAAATTCGCCTGCCTCAGCTTCCTGAGTCACGGGGATTACAGGTGAGTACACCACACCCAGCTTCAACGTGTGCATCTGGAAGGCTCATTGGTTGACCCCTCAGGCAGCCCTCCTGCCATGTCCCTCCTTGGTCTTTAACCCTCCTTAGGGCCTGACAGTGCACCATGGGTTCTTACCAACTCTGTGTTTAGGGTAGGGGTTCCTGACTGAAACTCTTTTACTTTTTGTGTTTTTGTGTTTTGTTTTGGGGGCACTAAAGATTGAGCTCAAAGCTTCATGCTAGGAAAGCACTCTACCACTGAGCTACGTCCCAGCACTTTTTTTATTTTGAGACAGGTCTCACTAAGTTGTGTTGCCCTGGCCGGCCTAGAATTTGTGATCCTCCTGCCTCAACCCAGAGAGTAGCCGGGATTACAGGGGTGAGCCACTACACCCAAACACTCTTCATTATCTCAAAAAAAAAAGAAAATCATACATGTACCAAGATAAGGCTGAGCGGCCTGCCTTGACTATAAGACCACTCTTTTTTTTTTTTTAGATCAATTCAGCATGAGGCTCTACTTATTTTCTGAAATTCAGAGCAAGCAATTCTTGGATCTATGAAAAAAAAAAAAAGAAAACAAGTAAATTATGGCTTACATATAATAAAAAGAAATGGAGTAGCGTGGCATAGTGGCGCACACCTGTAATCCCAGCAACCTGGGAGGCTGAGGCAGGAGAATTGCAAGTTCAAGACCAGCCTCAGCAACTTAGCAAGACCTGTCTCAAAATAAAAAGAACTGGAGAAAAGAATGTAGCCCCATGTTAAAGCACCCTTGAGTTCAATCCCCAGTACAAGAAAGAAAGAAAGAAAAGCAGGAAAGAACAGGAAGAAAGAAAATAAAAGAAATGGTGGCCCAGGCCTGCAATCCCAGGGACTCCGGAGGCTCAGGCTGGAAGATCACAAGCTTGATGCCAGCCTCAGCAACTTAGCAAGGCCCTGTCTCAAAATGAAAAATAAAAAGCTGGGGATGTAGCTCAGTGACACAATGCCCCTGGGTTCAGTCCCAGGTACCACAAAAAAAAAAAAAAAAAAAAGAAAGAAAGAAAAGAACAAAAGAAATGTTTCAAAGCATAGGGGAGAACAAGGAGTGGAAGAGGCAGAGTCCATGGGCTCTTCAGATGGCAAAGGGGGAAGAGGCTGGGAAGTGGGCTTTAATAAAGTAAAAGATGTTTTTCTTCTCAAAATAATGAAGCTTTTCCATAGGAAGAAGTGGGCACAGAAGAATCCACTCGCTGCGCAGGAGAGGAAGGAGCAGCTGGCCCTTCAGGGTGAGGGCGGGAAGAAGCGGCTGCTACTCTGCTGGGAGGTGTCTGGAGGCAGCAGGGCACCCAGGGAGCCACGGCACTCACTTTGGCTGGGTCGTAGTAATGCAGGAAAGCGGGGTCCCTCCTCAGAACAAAGCGTCGCACCTTCCAGTTTTTCCTCTTGTGACCCTGCAGCAAAGAAACGGATCCACGGTCCTTGGTGACAGCTCTCCATCTTCTTCCACTTCCCTGCACCAAACCCCAACAAGCCAGCCTACCCCAATAAAAACCTCATTAAAAACAAAAGAGTCTGGCCAGGCACAGTGGCGCTGCCTGTATTCCCAGCAACTCAAAAGACTGGGTCAGGAGGATGGCAAGTTCAAGGCCAGCCTCAGCAATTTATCAAGGCCCTGCCTCAAAATAAAAAATAAAAAGTATGGGGCTGGGGTTGTGGCTCAGTGGTAGAGCTGCTGCCTAGCACACGTGAGGCCCTGCATTCAATCCTCAGAACCACATAAAAATAAACAAATAATATAAAGGTATTGTGTCTACTTACAACTAAACTTTTTAAAAAAATCTTTAAATAAATAACATGTAGCTCAATGATAAAGCACTCATGGGTTTAATCCCCAGTCAAAAATAAAAATAAAAAATAAGTAAATAAAAACAGTCCACAGGACTCCTGAAGATTGCAATGATATGTCACAGACTTCACATGTTCAGTGAGCCTCCTGTAAAAACACCCTCATATTTAGTTGACAGAGCCAAGGACAGTTGGCATCAAAAGGAAGGGGATTGCATTATCCTGACGTTACTTGGTGCAAAAGAGAGGGACAGGGGCAGCAGGTGTCAACCTGAACCCAAGGCCACCAACTTCCACCAGCTCTTTAATGGTCAACTTAGTTCAAAAACAAAACTACAGCTGCATGTATACTTGTGCATTTTTACACTTGCATCCATCTACAGCAAAACCACCATTACATTCTGCATCAGAAAAAGAAGCAATCCATTATAGAACTCGATAAAAACTAAATGTGTAAAAGGTTAATCTGATGTGTGTGTGGAGAAACACTCTCTTTGGCCTGAGACCCTAGATCATAAACCTTCTTTAGCCTCTGGCCTGAAAGACACTCATGAGTCTCTCCTGTACCCTCTTCATGCTCCTCCAGGGGCCTCAGTACTGCCCTCAGTAAGGACTCCTGCCAGGCTCAGCAGAAGCAGGGGCCTGGGGTCAACACACAGTCGTGTGGCTGGTAAAGAACCTAAACACAGACGGGGATCCTGTTGTGCAAGAAGCAGGTCACAAATTTTTGAAATGAAACAATCATGCAGAAGTTGTTTGGGGTTTTTTTGTTTGTTTTTGGTACCAGAGATTAAACACAGGGGTGTTTAATTACTAAATTATATCCCCAGCCTTTTTTTCTTTTCATTAATTTGTTCTGATTAGTAATACATGACAGTAGAATGCACTTTGACACATCATACATAAATGGAGTATAACTTCTCATTCTTCTGATTGTACATGATGGAGAATCACACCAGTCATGTAATCATTTATGTACATAGGGTAATAATGTCTGATTCATTCTCCTATCCTTTCTAACCCCCATACCTGCTCCCCTCCCTTCACTCCCCTCTGCCTCTGTTTTTCCCTAGCCACCTCTCTTACTGTAAATTAGCATCCACATATCAGAGAAAATATTTAACCTTTGATTTGGGGGGACTGGCTTATTTCACTTAGCAAAATATTCTCCAGCTCCATCCATTCACCAGCAAATGCCATAATTTCACTCTTCTTTAAGCCTGAGTAATATTCCACTGTGTATACATTTTGAGGCAGAGCCTTGCTAAATTGCTCAGGCTGGCTTTGAATTTGTGATCCTCCTGCCTCAGCCTCCCAAGTTGTTCAGATTACAGGTGTGCACCACCACACCCAGCCCAGAAGTTACTTTTTAGTGCTGTGATGATTCCATGTGTTTATGCTTTTCCCGGATACTCCCCACACCTGGGCGTGTGATGGTCTGACTGGCTTCTGCAACTGCTCTGCAGACCCTGCTGGTAATGGGGGTGTTCTAGCATTCTCAGCTCCCCCCAGGGGCTCCTTCCTGCCTCTCCTCAGCATCCCCCTCCTCCCTGTCAAAGGCAGCCATACCTGCTTGGACAGAAAGCCTTGCTTGACCACCAAGCCGCTTAACTCCACGGTGCTCAGACTGATTTCTTCCTTGGGGCTTGGCTTCTTCCTGTAGCTCTCAGCCTAGTGGGAAGGAGGGAGCAAGGACTGTGCTACAGAAATAGCCCCAGGCCCAGGCTCAGGGCTGCAGGAGAAAGAGGATGCCTCCTGGGGACAAAGCTGTCCCCAACCCTCGGCCTCTCCCTGTGCCCATTCTTTCTGCCTCTTCCCTCTCCCCTGGTGGCAAGAGGAGCCCCGCTAACTTACAAAAGTGTACAGGGCTGTGGAGTCGTCCAGGAACTGCTCAGACAGGTCACCGGAGCGAATGGCTCCCATGCTCCGGACACCCACAGGCCTGAGGAAGTTCTCCTCCATGAGCACAGAGGCCAGCGTCACCGCCTCCAGACGGCTGGCCGCGAAGCTGCTGGAGATGAGCCAGTCCACCAGGGAGGAGCCTGCGCCGGGGCAAGGGCAGCACCCATCAGACCACGGGCGCCCACCCACCCTCCTTAGGGTGCTTGTCTGTGACCTTCCCCCTCCTCCTAGGCAGACTCGGGCTCGAGCCAAGAGCAGACTGAAGGCTGTGCCGGCCACACACAGCCGCGACCACACCCATGTGGCCATCTCAGGCCAGACCACTGCTCAGCAAATAGCTCTGGTTTCAATAGGGGCTGGTCAAGCGCTCCACTGATCCCCGGGTCCCAAGTGTCCCGTGTCCACCGCCTCGCCCAGCCCCTGGGATGGGCAGGCTCACCCAGGAAGGTCTTTTTGTAGGTGCTTCCCTGCTCCATGTTGGGGCTTGGCCGAATCCCGCTGCTGCTATCGTGCATCTTGTCCACGATGCGGCTGGTATGGAAGGAAGGCAAAGGAGAAGGATCCTCGTCACACAGAGCTTCAAGGGAGGACCCAAGAGCCACTGCCAGGGAATAAGGCATGTGGCGAGGGGTGTGATCCACACCAGAGGGGAGGGGGCCTTCCATGACGCATCAGAATCTGATAGGATTCTCAGACATTTCTCTTCTCAGGCATCTAATCATTACCCTTGTAGTGAGGCGAAAGAGCTGTGGATTTACTTAAAAGCAACAATAGTGCTGGGGGGATAGCTCAGTGGGATAGCACTTGCCTAGCATGCACAAAACCCTAGGTTCAATCCCCAGGACAGCAAGACACAAAACATGAGTGTGCAGGAGCCAACACGCTTCTCTATGATCTGCTGCATTCAGCGCAAATCCTCCAGCTATTTCTCAATGCTGAGCCTCTCTGAATCCAACCACAACCCACCCACCCAGTCCTCCCCACATGTGCCACGGCTTAGCAGCCCTTCGACACACAGAAAGTGCACAGGCCAGATTTCAGTGCCTGGCATGGAGTTAAAAGCCCAGAATGGACGCACAATGTCTGTGTGTGTGTGTGATGGAACCCAGGCCTCACACATCCTAGGCAAGTGCTCTTCCATTGAGTCAGTGGGGTGCATTCCCAGCCCACATCCCTCATCTGTGATGGGTGTGAGGGTTTGGCTGCCTGGGAGTGTTTGCAACAGTGTCCCTACTTTATCACCTCCACCTCTGACCAGCTTTCCTTCTGCTCTATGGGACGATCACTTCCTCCAACAGAAGATCTTTCCTCATTTATGTGTATACACTGGGGCTGGAAGGCCCCAGAGATGAGATCCTGTTTACTCCTACCTGCGTCTGCTAAGCACCCAGCACAGTACATGGCATGCAGTAGGTACTCAATAACTATTTATTTTCTTTCTGATTTTAAACATTGGTACATGATAATTGCACATATTTGTGAGGTACTCAGTAACAGTTTGTTGAATGAATGAACGAGGAACCCTCACCCAGCAAGACTGCAGCTGCTACCAGAAAACATCATCTGTGCCACCAGGCTACAAAAAGACCAGTGACCTGGTTGGTGGAGAGCCCTAAGAAACTGTGACACAGCCCTGAGCACCTGTCTAAAATGGAGTGTGGGGGGGGTCTCTACCTCCTCACAAGGTGGGCAAAAGTGGCAAAGTTCTAAGAGGTTTCATAGGAGTGGGGCTAGTGGTTCAGGTCATCCCCAGGTCAGTATGACCCAGACAGGGACAGCTGACAGCCCTGAAGCACAAGGTGGTCCCAGCCAGGCCTGTGTAGCACCATAGAGCCCCCCTCCCCAAGGACCTCCCCCCTCCCCACTGGGCGCACAGGAGAGGCTGCAGAGAGGCCAGAGGCTGAAGGGGTGGGGCAGGCAGGGCACTCACTGCAGGCTGATGTGAGGGGGCAGCTTGAAGGAGTTTTTTAATATGTGGAGCTGCTGGACCTTCCCGGGCTGCCCTGCATGGATGGCCCCTGTTATCTCGAAGGCCCATGCGTCCCTCTCCTCTCGAGAACAGGCCTCCAGGAAGTACTCTGTGGAAGTCCTGGTCTTCAGCTTAATGAGGAGCTGTGGGAAGAAGAGTCAGACGGCACTCAAAGGCACAGCAGGCCAGAGCACGCGGTCAGCAGAAACCACAGGGCCAAGGTGGGGTAGTCCAGTGACCGCCTGTGCCCTGGCCCCTTGTCTCTACCCCAGTGGTCTGTGAAACTTCGCTCAGACACTTCCAGCAGTGGGGAGCTCACGGCCTCCTAAAGCAGCCTTTCCCCTTGGGACAGATTAGTCAGCACAAGGACTGCTTCCAGGACACTGTCCAGAATCTGCCTCTGGGGTCACTTAGTCTCTCCTCCCACGACAGCTTTGCACTGAAATGGGAACCGTTCAGCCTCTACAGCCAGGCTGAATGGGACCAAAACCCACCTCTGCCCCTTAGCTAGAGATGCTCACTGAGTCTGAGTTTCTTATTAATGGTCCCTTGAATAAAACTGTTAGTGACACCACCTTTGAGCCTATTTTCCCTCCAGTTTAAACATTCCCAGGTCTTTCACACATTCCACTGACATCAGGAGAAAGAGATAAGGCAAGGAGGACTGGGAGATGGGTCCCCGGGGAACTTCCTGGGCAGTAAAGCACAATCAGCACTTGCAGATATTTGCTAAGAAACTTACAAAAAGGTTATTTTAAAATCAGGATCTACGTGACTGGGATCCATGCCTCTCCAAAGAGGGGAAATGCCTGGTGGATATTTTGATGGGCCTAAAGGCTGCACATGGACAATAAACACCACACCCAGGATTCGGCAGGGGCTGACTTCCTTAAACTTATATAAACTCCTAGACAAGGGTCACTCTTTGATATCCCTCTCTTGGGACCCCTCTCTCTTTGAGAGCTCTGCTTTCTTCCTCTTACTCTAATAAGTAATTATTATTCCTTATTATTATCTGTTATTTTATTATTAATAATAACTATTAATAATAGTATCAATAATTATTATTATTACTTATTATTATCTGTTATTTTACTCTCACCCTTGTATCTGAGGTTCTCATTCTTCACATTCATGAAACAAGAACCCAACTCCACGCTCTGTGTTAGGATATGATATAGTTTACACTCCTTCTCAACCAGTTTACTATGTTTGCAGTGCTGGGGATTGAACCTCGGCCTTGGGCATACTAGGCAAGCACTTTACCACTGAGCCACATCCCCAACCCTCAACCAGTTCACTCTTGCTAAGTGTTCTGCACACACTGAGCACTCTCACAGATGGCCCACGGAATGGAATATCCTGCTCCAGGATCTGAGGGGTGCAGAACATCAGAGGCTACCGCCTGGGAGCACAGGAGTGTGGGCAGTTCCAGGCACTGTAGAGCCTTTCATTTTCCCATCTTTCATTTATTTATTTTTTGGTCCTGGGGATTGAACTCAGGGGCTTACCACTGAGCCACGTTTCCAGCCATTTTTGTTTTCTATTTTGAGATAGGGTCTCACTAAGTTGCTGAGGCCGGCCTTGGACATGAGCTCCACCTGCCTCAGCTTCCCAAGTCACTGAGATTACAGGTGTGTGCCACCGCACCTGGCACTTTTTAATGTAAATGGGCATTTAAGGAGTTTCTTTGACAAGTTGTGGGATCTTTCAGTCTGACTCTATTAAATGTTACCCGAGTAGGCCAGTTCTGAAACATTCTACTTCATTCTGATTCTGCTTCCCAAATGTCAACTCCCAACTTATTTTGCTTGCAATCTTAATATTCTTCACCTAAACTAATAGTGAAAATGGTGAATAAGGCATGGCTGGCTCACGGCCCCAAGGAACCCCATGAAGATATTCCTCCAAGTTAACATTCACTCATCACTATCATGGAAGAAGAGAGTGAACTCAGATCCAGAACCTGTACAGTCAGTCTGCAATTAACCATTTTAATGAAAAGAATTTCAGGAGAGACTAGAAATTTAAAAAAAAATCTAGGTGCACCCTTTTTTACAGCTTCCGTAATTTTATATATGCTTTATGATTTGTTCTTAGTGGATCTGTTGGCTACTCTCAGTCTCTTTTAGTCCAAATACTCATGAACTAAGCAAATAACAAACCCGTTTGAGAATTTTATGTAGAATTAACATGAAGCTCATAACTCCAGCAAATTTAGCCTGTTTCTCTTTTTTGAAATTTAAACCATAGTTTTCCCATCTCCATCCCATCTACCAATACCTCTGCTCTCCACTGTTTCCTAAAGATTATTAAGAGATAGCAGGTCAACAAGTTAGCTGGGAGTGGTGGCTCACACCTGTAATTCCAGCTACTTGGGAGACTGAGGCAGGAAGACTGCAAGTTCAAGGCCAGCCCGGGCAACTTAGTGAGACCCTATCTCAAAATAAAAATAAAAAGGGCTAGGGGTATAGTTCAGTGGTAAAGCACCCCTGGGTTTAATTCCCATACCACAGATACACAAAAAAGAGGTAGTAGGTCAACAAATTAACCTATGAGTTCAGGGGTTTCATTTATTGTGGTTTTTTTTTTTTTTTTGTACTAGGGATTAAACCCCAAGGGTGCTTAATCACTGAGCCACACCCCCAGTCCTTTTTTTTTAATTTTTATTTTTTTATTTTGAGACAGGGTCTCACTAATTTGCTTAGGGCCTTACGTTTTGCCAAGGCTTGCTTTGAACTCGTGATCTCCTGTCTCAGTCTCCCAAGTTACTGGGATCACAGGTGTGTGCCACCGTGCCTTTCTCCATAAAGCATCTAAACCATGGCTTCATATCCCCATTTCTTCATAGGAGATATTTGGGTGTAATTATCTCATCCCATCTTACAGACGACAATGACGACTGAGAGAGGTTTAACTACCTGCCTGAGGTCAGGTACCTGGAAGATGGTTGAGCCATGACTTGAACCAAGTCTTTCAATTATAACTCCGAGCTCTTCCCACTACCCACACCACCTTCCCAAAGAGCCAGAGGTGAGGAGTGTCTGGGGTGGGGAGCTGGACAGCAGGAACCTTCACCTACCGGACGGTTTTCATAATCCAGGCAGGGGCAGGTGATGGTGCAGCCATCCAGGAGGATCCGGCCCTTGGGAGGGGCCACTCTCCGACCCCCCTCAAGCTTGTAGTACAGCAGCGTGTTCTGCCGAAGGATGAACCATCGCACCTTCCAGTTGTGGACAATGTGGCCCTGTGAACAGACAGGAAAGCCCCGAGGTGAGGGAGAGAGGGGAGGACACCATGTTCATGGAGAGATGCTAACCAGATGTGCTTTGGAAACAGAGACACAGCAGTATTTTGGATCTTTCTCAGACATTTCTTTGGGATATCTGGCAAATACCTTTGGCACTGACCTTCTGGTTGCCATTTGGCCTTTTTCTGGTTATAAATTTTTGTGTGTTATGTAGTGTTGAGAGTGGAATCCAGACCTTGCACATGCAGGCAAGTGCTCTACCACAGAGCTATACCCACCATCTGTTCCTGGTCACGAACCTTGAGATAAACTGCAAATTATTAAGAAGAAAAAAAGTCACGCGCCTATCATTCTGCTACTAAGAGACAGCCACTGTTAACATTTGACACTTCCTTTCAGTCTTTTTCCCTTTTAGTTTTCGCTTTAAAAAAAATAGACCATATTTATCAGTGGTAGAGCACTTGCCTAGAATATGCAAGGCCCTGGGTTCAATCCCCAGTTCTGAAAAGAAAAAAAATAAATATCATATTACAAGCCAGAAGTGGTGGTACATGCCTATAATTCTAGTGACTTGGGTGGCTGAGACAGGAGAAATGCAAGTTCAAGGCCAGCCTCAGCAACTTAGTGAGGCCCTAAGTAACTTAGAGAGACCCTGTCTCAAAATAAAAAATAAGCAAAAAAAACTGGGTATGTGGCTCCATGGTAAAGTGCCCCTGGATTCAATCCCCAGCATCACTCACACACACATAAAAAGACCATATTACATATGGCTTTATTTTCTCACTTTTGTCTTGTTTAGCCTTGCTGAGCATTTTCTCACACCATTATATTTCTTTTTGCATATATATATGAAACAGTATTTATTAAAGAATATTTGGGAAAGTAGTAGGAAGGAATAAAAACAAATCCATGACCTGCTTTACAAGGTAGTGGCCAGATCAACATTGAGACACTCATTCCAGTCCTTTTGCTGTATATTTTTAAAAGCACAAACACATGACATGTCAACATGGGTCACCAGCATTTTAAAAACACACCTTCTGACTTTAAAGTAGAAGCATACACAGAAAATTTGGAAAACACTGAAAAGTGTAAAGGAAATTAAAGTCACCTACCATCTCATTAGTCAAAAATAACCACAGCTAATATTTTCATACACTTCCTTAGTTGTTTTTATCCATTTTCTTTTTACACAATTAAGTTTATAGTATACGAGATTCTTCAGTCTAATTAACAAAGGTTTGAATGGATGATGACAAAGACAGACTTGGGAACAGTATTTGCCCCTCAAATTATCAATATGTTTTTTAAAGAGGCAGGAAATACACAGCCACTTCAGTGTTTATAGAGCACAATTCACAATAGCTAAACTGTGGAACTGACCTGGATGCCCTTTAATAAATGAATGGATTAAAAAATGTGGCATATATACACAACAGAATATTACTCAGCAATAAAAGAGAATAAAATCATGGCATTTGCAGGTAAATGGATAGAGTTGGAGAAAATAATGCTAAGTGAAGTTAGCCAGTCCCAAAAAACCAAATGCCAAATGTTTTATTTGATATAAGGAGGCTGACTCATAGTGGGGTAGGGAGAGGGAGTGTGGGAGGAATAGCCAACTCTAGATAGGGCAGAGGGGTGTGAGGGGAAGGGAGGGGCATGGGGTTATAAATGATGGTGGAATGTGATGGATATTATTATCCAAAGTACAGGTATGAAGACACGAATTGGTGTGAATATACTTTGTATACAGCCAGAGATATTGTGCTCTATATGTGTAATAAGAATTGTAATGCATTCCGCTGTCATATATAAAAAAAGAAACTAAAAAAAAAGATGCAGAAAATAATCACTCAATGTTCCCTTTCCATTTATAAAGCAATCAAAATATATATCAGTCTAAAGCCTGAGCTAAATTTCTACTTCAGTGAACCCTGACATGGAATACCACATTTGTTTATTTTGTGTATCCAAATGGGTCTGCACCATTTCATAAGAATATTCCATACACAAAACTTTCAACCACATTCTCCTAGGAAAGATAACAACTGTAGCTTCATTAAAAGCTTTACATGTCTCACAATGTAAAGTCTATAACGTGACTTAAACATTTTGCACACTCAGATTTACATAAAAGAGCTTTAGCAGGAAAATAAAGTATGATTGATAATAGCTCAAGGAGTTCTAATTGGTATAACAGACTTGGCCTTATCAAGTTCCAAAGAATTCATTATCAAAACTACAAACAAACCTTCACTTGTGTATACAGTTGTAACCTTTACAGTAGCTGTCAGGGGAAGTAGCCGTGTAGGTTTACATGTTGCTGAAGGCAAAGAGTTAGCAAATGCAAACTCCAGAGAGAATGAATGCTCCACCTACAGCTTCCTCTTAGACAATCAGGAAACACTAAATGAAATCATCCTAAAAGAAAATCACAACACCTTGCTGCCGATAGTCCCCTCTTCAAAAGCTCTCTGTGAGAGCCCTCAGCTCAACTCAGCAGGCCATGTAGTCGTCTAAGGTGATCTTTCCACTGGTGCTGTATTGTTTTGCAATTGAACTCGGTTTGGGGAGTCGACCTCAGCGCCTGTTGTCCTTAGCGCCTTCTGCAATTCTTGAGGATCCCCGGTTCTACTCCTACCACCATCAAAACTGATGAAGTGTTGTCTCCAGCCATTCAATGCAGCCCAGAGTTCTTTAAATTCATTGAAGCCCATCATGCCAAACCTGTCTCCATCCACCATTGAAACTGCAAGCTGACAAGTCACCAGGTTAAAAGGTTTGTATCCTCCAGCAATGCCCAACTGTGGCAGACCTCTCTGCAATTCAGCAGCATCTATTTGCTCATCCTGTCCTGCTACAGCAGCAAAGTGACTACACAGAGGATTCTGCGTTTGTCCTCCAGGACTCTCTCCATACTTGCCAGGGTAGTACTCACTGCTGGCACTGGGGTGCCCAGATAGGCCTTGGTGCAGACCGAGCTCTGCCTCCCCACCCCAGGGCAACTCTTCTTCTCCTCCTCCTTCACCTTCCTCCTCCTCCTCCTCCCTGCCCCTTCCTCCTTCTTCTTCTTCTTGTAGTAGGAATTGAACCCAGGGGAGCTTTACCACTGACTTACATCTCCAGTCCTTTTTAATTTTGTTTTCAATTTAGAGGTAGGATCTTGCCAAGTTGCCCAGGTTGGCCTTGAACTTGCTATCTTCCTGCTTGAGCCTCCAGATTAACTGAGATTACAGGCCTGTGCCACTGTGCCCTAAAAATATTCTTTTTTTTAAGTATTGCTTTTAGTTATATATGGACACAATACCTTTATTTTGTTTATTTATTTTTATCTGGTGCTGAGGATTGAACCCAGTGCCTCACATGTGTGAGGCAAGTGCTCTGCCACTGAGCCACAACTCCAGCCCCCTGGAATATTCTTTATGACTACTCTTCATATGTATAATTGCCAATCTCCTATTATTTGTGACTGAATTTGTTTGTTTGTTTGTTTTCTTGTCTGTTATAAACTATGCTACAATGAGTATTCTCACACATAAATTTTGATTGTGTCTCTGATTTTCTTTCCTTAAAATATAATCCCTAGAAAGAATGTAACTAGTCAAAGGGTCTGGGCAATCTCTAAGGCTGAAGCGTCAGTCACTCTACAGCGCTAAGGGACCTTCCAGGCTAGCCTAACCAGCTGCAGCAGGCATACAAGGCAGGTTGTTTGAGATGTTCTCAGGTGGGTCAGCATAGTCAGGTGCAGGCAGAGAACTAGTTTCTAGAACATACCAATGGATAGGGGAATTCTGCTGAGGGACTGGAAAGTAGGGTTTGGTACACAGGAAAGCACCTTCTTGGCATATTTCTAAGCAGAACCCAATTTGGAACTATGTTCTAACCTAGAAAGATGAGCTTTATCTGGATCAAAGACCAAGTCCCAAAATCACTCATGGCCTTGCCTAGCATTTATTAATATCAAAGACCCCTTCAGTTCTCACATCTGTGGTGCTATGATTCTATTCCATGCTCGGCACATAATGGGAGCTATTAGGTTATCAAAAGTTGTAGAACCAGGCACGGTGGCACAGGCCTATAATCCCCACTACTCAGGAGACTGAGGCGGGTTTAAGTCCAGCCTGGGCAATTTAGTGAGATCCTGCCTCAAAAAAAGAGAAAGGGCTGGGGATGTAGCTCAGTAGGAGAGCAGCCTGGCTCAATCCCCAGAACCACCACAACAAAAAAAGAGCGGGGTCCCTTCCCTTTGTTCCTGACAAAAGGTACATGCAGTCCAAGGATTGACAGTTTTATCTGATGTAGGAAGACAAAAAAGGTTTAAATCTGACTCCTCAGCTGTTAGGGCCCTCTGCTTCTCTCTACATGGTCCAGTCTCAGGACCTCATTCCCTGGGAGCCCCCTGCTGTGGGGGTCTTGACACTCTTGGCACCAGCCAGGCTGGCCTGGGGCTTCTGGATGCTGAAGAATTCAAGGCAGCAAATGACTGGCACACAAGGTCGTACCTGGACTAGGGAGAAGAGCATGCAAGGTAAATGGATGGTACAGCTGCTGTCATCAGGTGAAGAGAGGGAAAATAATGTGAAACCTTAAAACATGGATCTTTTAGGCTGACTTGCGTGCCTCCAAATTCATATGCTGAAGTCCGAACCCCATACCTCAGAAGGAGACTGTATGGGAAGACAGTCCCTTTAAAGAAGTGATCAAGTTAAAATGGGATCATTAGGTGGGCACTGATCCAATCTGACTGGTGTCCTTATAGGAAGAGATTTGGACACACACAGAAACACCAGAGATCTACATTCCACAAGAAAGACCACGTGAAGACACAGCAAGAAGGCAGTCAATCACAAGCCAAGCAGAAGGAATCAAACCAGCCAACACCTTGATCTTGAACTTTGAGGCTCTAGAACTTTGAGGGGGGGGCCCTCTGATGTTTAAGTCAGTTTGTGATACTTGTTATGACAGCCCTACCAAACTTCCCAAAAGGGAAAAGA